GATACAATAAGATAAGATAAGACTTTATTGATCCCACAACGGGGAAATTTTTGCGTCACCTCAGCTCAGGTACAGATATCAGAAGGAAATACAAAAATACAAATAAGTACAATCAATGAAAAAAAGTAAGATAATACACTATATACAATGGTAGCATACACAGTATGTGATTATGGATATAGTTGGAAATATGGAAGACATAAACTATATAGCTTAACATAACTATTGTACCACTACTATTCCTATCCGGTTGTTCAGTGATGACGCGACGAATCCTACTTCCGGGTCTAAAGTAGTCTGCGTTTAATATGGCTTTTGTGTTGTTAACATGTTTAATGTTATGTATTTTCTTCTATTTGATCTCAAAAAGCTCCTAAAACAGTCAGTGATCCCTGTTGACCTCCCTCGGCTTTTATTACCACTAATCATTTATTTAAGCTCAGTTTTTAAAACCTTAGGATGTAACTACAGCCCAGGCCATGCAGCAGTATATGAATGACTAACCTCGTATTATGGATGGATTATCTCAGTTGTTCTCCTGGCTGAAGTTTGGTCCTTTTACAGCATCCTGCCATGCAATTACATTTGTTCCTGACCACCGAGAACACTCACGTTAACTTTTATCGAGTGGAAAAAAAGTTAGCTTGTTTATATTATGCTAACATAGCTGTGTCGCTAGCGGTCACGTAGCACATCATTATATACCAGCTAGCCCAACTTCAGTAACCCTACAAACGTCACTGCTGTTTAGTTTTCTGTCTTCATTTATGTTGGAAGTGATAGCAGAGCTGTACGTTTTAATTTGTTTCCAAAACCCCGCAGTCAGGACATGCTATATTGTATTTAGATAGAAGCTAGCGAGCTAACTCCCTGCTAACTTCTAACTCCGTTAAATGTCATAAATTCCGTTTTCATGGATGCCTGGATGTTAAACTCAATTGTTACACCTGGTAGAGCAGAACGCTGATCATTTTATTAAAGATGAAAGACTTTAGACAGTTTTTCAACTCTCAGTAATGCCACAGTGATCGTTTGATATATGGACCTGCAGCGGAGTTTAGGCCCAGACACGGCTAGTGACGTCAGACTGAACAATCGGATTTATAGACATGTACACACACACATGTACACACTAAATATACATATGTATACATATACAGACATATATACCTGCACATGTCCATACACATGGAAGGTCTATTATGCATGAAGTGGTGACCGTGGATGTTCACAGTGTCCAGTGACTTATGACATCGTGATTGAGGAGTTATAGAGTCCAACTGCTGTTGGGATGAATGATCTGCGAAAGCGCTCCTTCCTGCAGCGAGGGTGTTTCAGTCTCTGACTAAAGGAGCTGCTCAGCCCACTCACATACTCATGCAGTGGGTGATGTGGGTTGTTCATGATGGATGTCAGCTTTACTAACATCCTCCTCTCCCACCCCCATTCTCTGCGGCCTGCTGGAGCGGGAGGGCTAGTAGGAGGAGTTGGCCGTCCGACTGCGGTCTGGGGTGTGGGGCCTCCCTGCTGCTGCGGAGTCGGGGTGGTCTGCCTCTCCCCACCGCAGGGAAAAGGGTAACACCACCTGGGTCTGGGTGCAATTCCCCCCTCCAGGGGCAAGGGTACCTAGACCCGGTTTGTAGAGTACGCTTGGGGAGTGTGATTGTGTGTACAGCGTCTCTTTATGTCTGTCTCCACGTTGGTTGAGTGTGGAGTGAGTGCATATGAGAGCATGAGGGTGGGAATGGATGTTTGTGTCTGTGTGTGCCTGTATGTCTGTGTCTATATGTCAGGTTGGGTATCAGACGCCACCTCTCTGGGGACACCTCAGGCCCTCCAAGGTTTGGAGGCCTATCTCCACCCACCACCACTTCCCCTGCCGGTGGCGGACTCCCTCAGGTGTCGGTGTGTTGGTGGTTCTTTGTGTCTGGGGGTGGGCGTCCGGGTACACACCGGCTCACTCCTTGGCGGCCGCTTGTCGGGGCCTGGGGCCTGGGGCTCGCTCGGGCCCCTTTGGAGGTGGGGTGCCCCCGGCCTCTCGGCCTAGGGCTCGGTCACTCAGGCGCAGCTGGGGGCCGGCGGAGCTCACGGGCGCGTCACTGCAACTCCCCCTGACTTCTGCTCCGCGGCTGCTGAGTGAGCCCTCATCTGGGACTCTCCTCAGCTCTTACTGGAACAGTGGCGCGGCTGCCCCTCTGTTGGTCTTCCATGGTCTCTTGTGTTCTGGGGGCCTCTGGATGTCTGGAGTTTTGATCTCCTCCATACCCGCTTCACACCCTGGAGGACGGGGCTGTGGCCCCCCCACACTCCCTAGCAGATCATTACATGGAGAAACCTTTGGAATGCAAGCATGCTGATCCACACAGGTATGCACACATGGGTATTCACAGACGCGGACTAAAGCTTTCTTGGCTGCTGCCTCAAAGCACACTGTGCGCTGTCTATCTTGCGTGCTGCACAATATCGTTTATTACTTAGTAAATACTGATATCTATGACTAGCTAGTTTATTGTGATGGTGCTTTGTTTTCTCTATTATTATGTTGCTCCTTGTTGTTTGCTGTCTCCTCTGTTTGTTTTTGTTTGTTTGTTTGTTTGTTTTTTCTCCATACAGGTGACCCAGGAGTTTTTTTTTTTTCTCTCTCTCTTCCCCCCCCTTCTCACCGTCTCTTCTCCCCTTTGGTTTTCTTTCTTTCTCTCCCCCTCTCTCTCTCATTCATTCCCCCTGTCCTATTTATTTAAAAAAAAAAAAAAAAAAAAAAAATGACAAAGGATGAACTGAAGCTCTGCCATCACGTAATGTCGCATACTGCTGTTTCTGATGTCATTTAGAAAAAAAAAAAAAAAAAAAAAAAAAAAAAACTAACATCCTCCTCTCGCCAACCACCTCCACAGACTCCAGGGGACATCCCAGCATGGAGCTAGACCAGTTTGTCAATCCTGCTCCTGTTCCTGTCCGTGCATCCACTCCCCCAGCAGGCCACTGCTACCACAGTGTCATAGAATGTCCTTAACAGAGTCCTGCAGACTCTGAAGGACCTCAGTCTCCTCAGCAGGTGGAGTCAACTCTGGCCCTTCTTATACAGGACGTCTGTATTTGTAGTCCAGTCCAGTTTATTGTTGAGGTGAACACCCAGGTACTTATAAGAGTCCACTATCTCAATATCTTTCCCTTGGATGTTCACCGGTGTTGTAGGGGTTGACTTCCTCCTGAAGTCTATGATCATCTCCTTTGTCTTGCCAGCGTTGATTTGGAGTACGTTGGTCTCACACCAGCCAACAAAGTCACTGATGACCCCCCTGTATTCCTGATCATTCCCGTCTGATATGCATCCAATGATGGTTGTATCATCTGAGAACTTCTGTAGATGGCAATCGTCCGAATTATAACAGAAGTCTGAAGTGTAAAGGCTGAACAGGAAAGGTGAGAGAACCGTGCCCTGTGGTGCCCCCGTGCTGCAGATTACCACCTCGGACACACAGTCGTGGAGCCTCACATACTGTGGTCTGTTGGTAAGGTAGTCGATGGTCCATGCAGTCAGCTGTCTGCCTACTCTGGCTCCCTCCAGCTTCCCTCTCAGTAGTGCGGGTTGGATGGTGTTGAAAGCACTGATCCCACACTGCTTCAATAATGTTGAGGTCCGGGCTCCGGGGAGGCCAATCCATGACCGATAGTGTTCCACTCTGTGTTTTTTGTCTATCCAGGTATGTTTCTACTGCATTGGCAGTGTGTTTTGGATCATTGTCATGAAGAAAAATTAAACTGTTTCCAATCAGATGATTTCCAGATGGTATTGCATGCTGGATCAAAATGTGATGGTACTTTTCTATGTTGATAATTCATCAGTTTTGACAAAGATCTTCAATATCGTTGACTGAAATGCAGCCCAAACAATGTCGGAGCCTCCACCATGTTTTACAGATGACTGTAAACACTCACTGTACCTCTTTTCTGCCTACCGGTCTGCATATTAATGATGATTAGAACCATAAACATTCAGATCTGGATTCATCACTCCATCAGACTGGTTTCCACTTCCTTTCAGTTCAGGCCTTTTCTTCCTGTTCCCCTTCCTGTTTAAGAATGGCTTCCTGACAGCCACCTTCCACTGAGACCATTTCTGATGAGGCTTCAGTGAACATTAGATGGATCAGCTGAAGGTCCAGATGCATCTACCACTTCCTTTTTTCCTCTGAAAGACTTAAGTGAAGTGGAAATGTAGCTAATGCCCAAAGAAAAACTTTGAGAGGTCCTTGGAAAGCCTGGGGAAATACTGCTCAAAACCACTTAGAAAATTACAGGAAATTCTGACTTCTTGGAAGAAATGTGGGCTAGGGCAAGACTTTTGTTCTCCATTGAAGTTTTCAACTTTGTAAAATATAAGAACTACAAAGAATAAATATTAGTGAAATATTTACGTTTTAAAACCGGTGATTAGCACCTTTTTGTTGTCGGTACAAGATTATAACTTTTGATATTTAGACTACAATAAGATTTTTTTTTAAAGTTTAGTTTTTTTGTTATGTTTTTTAAATACGTCTTTTATTTTCAGTTATTACTTTCTTGTTCCAGAATTTTTTTCACATGTCAACGATCAAACATAATTTTTAAGTTAAGTTTCAGTTTCAGAGTTGTAGGCGTCCTTGCAGCTTTCGCTTTCTCTGAAAACACGTGGTCACTCTTGGCTCTTCTCTGTACTGACTTTCTCCCTCCGAAAAGCCTGCGTCATGTTGCTTTAAACTCAATTAAAAATACATTTTATGTACAGTGTCGTTCTCTTTGACTTTGTACAATGACAAAATACATCTTGACTCTTGATGTTATGCTTACAGGGGCAGCTTTAAACAAAAAAACTCCTGTGTATTTTTTTTCAGGCATGCTTGGTAGCTGTCAACAACAGCCGTTTTTCCCTCTTTGTGATTGGCTGTCTCGTGGAAAAGGGCGGGGGCTTGTCGTAAATGGTGTGCGGTGATTGGCTGATAGTGTTCCGTAAAGTAAGCTGCGCCACTGGAGTAGAAAAAAGGTAGGAGAGCTGTTAGGGACTCAAGCGTTTTCGGAAACACAACTTACTTCCCGTGGAAGCTTGTTCACGTTACCTTTACATTAAAGGTAAGTTACATGACTTACATGTTCAAAAGGTGACGTTGTTTTATATTAATCGCATCTGTGACCCTTTTACACAGCAAGCCGTGCTAGGAGAGCACTTAAACTTGCTAATCGGTAATGCTTAAAAAAAACGACTCCTGCAAACACTTGATGGCAGTTTACGGGATATAAGCGTTCCTCTGTGTATGTGTTAATATTTGTGTATCTGTCCGTAGCCGTTATTTAAATCAAATCTTAACTTTTTACACGCTTACGTCCATACCTCCAACCATTAGGGGTCCGAAACGTAAATAATTACCTGTCAACCCCGTGTAAAAGTCGGGATCTTAGTCGATGTGTAACACCAGATAAATTATTGTATATGCCGATCTCTCAGGTGAGGCACCAACATATAGATAATCTATTGAGTCTTGTATTGTTAGACGTTAAAATAAGGGGCTCTGCTTGAATCTTAAAAAAGACACATTACCGATTAGAGTTTGGCTGAGGAGAGCTGGAAAGGACCACAGGGCTGCCTTAAGTGACTTGGGGAGCCAGAAAGATTAAAAATTAAAGCTGTGAAATGGATTTACTGGCTATGATCGTCTCATGAATGTGGAATTAGGTCATATATATATAGATACACATACGTTTAAATACTCTTAATGATATATTTTTTAACTGATGCTGGAGGCAGAGTCGCATTTGTGGGGAAATTGAAACCTAAGCTGACCTTAGACGCCTCCTACATTCAGGTTTAGCCACTTGGAACAAGATAAATACAGATAAGATTGCGTTTGATTTAAAAAAAACAAAACAACAAAATGTTAATTTGTCTCTTCTTTAGCTGTCAAACAATCCTGTTTTACAATATGGGAATTAATCTGTGCAGCTAATTACAGTTTGAGCTTCAGTGTCTATGAAATCCAGCTACTTTTAACAGAAATCAGTGTTGGATGTTCCTTTACATCATCACACACATCTTTCTTTGTTTTTACTTTCTGATCTTAAGTCAGAGCACAACTGAGCCAGGAAGGAGGCGGGTGGCAGCCCGCGACAATCCTCGAGTCAGCACTTATCATTTCACAATTTCTCACACTGTAAACAAGCAGCTGGTTTTCTGTAGTGAGAAAAATGTTTTGGAGCTTCCTGACCTTTGTCTTCTGTCCACAGTGATGCAAGGAGAGTCAGAAATAAAAAAATATTTTCAATTAGATCTTCAAATTATTGAATTATCCTCATATATTTATGGATTTAAGATGAGTTCTTAGAAAACCAAGCTCAGAACAAATGACTAAAAAATGTTTCCTTTATTTATTCAGGATTATTATACACTTCTACACTGTATATAAACTTTAACTAAGTATCCACGTCTAGCGAATTCTCAAAAAGCGTAAATTCCCTTTAAAGGGTTTTTTAAAAAGTCTCAGATTTCTGCCACTTTTATCTCACAGCCTCATGATAATAGATTCTGTATGTTTTTATTAACTGTTGTGTGTCTACAGCGGAAGACTGCAGACAGAAATGTGACATACATGTCGATAAATTTACACACATGATCTGCTTTTGTGGGCGTTTAATAACCCAGCTAGGGTTTTCTTCAGTCTTTGACGACACACCAGTGAAAAAGTATATAAAATCAGACTTTTTCTGCTTATTTCCAGCTCCATATTTTCACTCCTGGACTCTGCTAGAGTAGCTTTGCATGATTCCCAGATTAGAATAATAATAATAATAATATTATATGGCGGCGATCGTGGCTCAAGAGTTGGGAGTTCGCCTTGTAATCGGAAGGTTGCCGGTTTGAGCCCCAGCTTGGACAGTCTCGGTCGTTGTGTCCTTGGGCAAGACACTTCACCCGTTACCTACTGGTGGTGGTCAGAGGGCCCGGTGGCGCCAGTGTCCGGCAGCCTCACCTCTGTCAGTGCGCCCCAGGGTGGCTACAATGTAGCTTGCCATCACCAGCGTGTGAATGTGTGTGTGAATGGGTGGATGACAGGTTGTGTAAAGTGCTTTGGGGTTCTTAGGGACTAGAAAAGCGCTATACAAATACAGGCCATTTACCATTTTTATTTATCTCATACTTGGTCTCCAGTTCATTCTCTGTCTAAGCTGTTTTAGCTCCTTCACTTTTAAGCTGACTTTAAGCAGCTCTGATTGGCTGCCCCTCACTATCAAGACTTTTGTTGCACATGTTAGAAATATGTGCCCTCCATGACATCATAAAGATCAAAGAGTAGGAAAAGGAATTTTTGAAACTGAGTATTTAGAGCAGTCTGAGGCTAGAGCGATTACTCGCACATACACTGTCCTCATTATTTGAGGCTCTGGTGCATGAACATCCACCACGAAACAGGATATGTATGACAGAAAAAATGCTTTAACATTTCTTATCTGTGAAACTAAAATGGTGAATAATCTTGCCTGATGCTCGGTAGAAAAGCCTGTATATATGTAGCCACCTTTTGTGCTTTTTAGGAAAATGATGAAGCTGAGCAATTTGGCCATCACCTACCTGTTGTTTTGAAACTGAGTGGCACTGATTACCTCTTATTTCTGACACTAACACAGATAAAAAGCAATAAAATTAAGTTCATGTTTAATTAGCAAGATGTGAAAATACAGATTTTAGTGAAAAAACGCACCAAGAGAGTTTATTTTATTGGCATCGCTGAGCAGGGGAAGTATGGGCTCAAAATGTGGTCATAAATATTTTGTACTTGTAAAAAAGATTTGTATGTGTAAAAAAAAATTTGTGCATGCGTAAAAAAGATTTGTGTGTGTAAAAAAGATTTGTGTGTGGACTTAGCCCAAAAAAACCCCTGCAAGTTACAAGTATGAATTTTGACCCTATTTTTCTTCCTTTAAGCTGATTGGTCAACGTCATGTCAATCACAAATTCTGATTGGATTGTTACATTTGTGATTGACATGACATTCACCAATCAGATGAAAGGAAGAAAAATAGGGTCAAAATTCGTAGTTGTAACTTGCAGGTTTTTTTTGGCTAAGTCCACACACAAATCTTTTTTACAAGTACAAAATATTTATGACCACATTTTGAGCCCATAGGGAAGAGGCTATCTCACTGCTGGTCATTAGTAAGAATGCAGCTTTTAGACTCTCCCGTCTTTTGCGTAGACTGTGCCACATCGTGCAAAAAATGTCCTGACAGAGCTGCTTTCATTCACCAGAAGATGGCGCAGTGGGGCCAGCTTCAGATGCTGGACAGCAAGTACCTGGAGCAGGTGGATCAGCTGTACGATGACTCGTTCCCCATGGACATCCGTCAGTACCTGAGCAAGTGGATCGAAAGCATCGACTGGTAAGAAGTCCGAATAAAGGGCAGCGTCTTTTTTTTTTTTTTTTTTTTTTTTGGCAAACGTTTCTCATCGACTCGTTTGAACCGTTAAAAAGTTGTTTTTATTGTAATACCTGTACTGATTTACCTGAATTTTTTTTATCTGGCATATCCCCTCCATACAATAAAAAGAGGAATAACTAACACTAAAACAAGAAAATCAAAGGTTGCAAAGTAAATCAAAGCAAAGGTTAAACTGGATGTCCTGATGGAAAAGAAAACTGTAGGTGCATTTGTATCGACATCGTAGACCAAACAGAAGCGAGCTCACACTTGTGGATGTGGATCTGGATCTATGGTCCTGCACTGGAAAACAACAGGGTCACCAAGGATATGGAAAGCTTCATGACATTGTATCCACAATGCAGGGATATCTTTGCGCATATTGAGAGTTTTGGTTCAGCTGCAAAAATTTAATTACATGTGGGGGAAAAAGTCCTCACAGCCCATAAAATCCTGGTTGTAAAAGTGCAGAAATACCTGTCCTTCATCATCATTTCAGCATCTGTTCATTAACTGTTCCATTGCTAGATTTTTATCAGACCAAAGCAAAAGTGTTTGAGCTAATGAGACTGATAATCATGGACTTCTCAATATTTGGATAAAGGTTTTGTTGAAGCACAGCATTTGCTGAAAACCAATTTGTAACCCTTTCAAGGTTAACCCCAAACTGAGCATCTTCTGTTCATGCTACTCAAAGACTTACTGTGGTCTCCTCAGGGACACGGTGGCCATGCAGGACTCTCTGGCCACGGTTCGTTTCCACGACCTTCTCGCTCAGCTGGACGACCAACACAGCCGCTTCGCTCTGGAGAACAACTTCCTGCTGCAGCACAACATTCGCAAGATCAAGAGGAACTTGCAGGTCCGACCCTGGATTCGAAATACTTCTGTGTGAGGCAGGTTAAATTCCTTTATGTAACTAAAAGTACGAGCGGTTCTCTCTCCAGGATCGCTTCCAGGAAGATCCCGTCCACATGGCCATGATCATCTCCAGAAACCTGAAGGAGGAGCTGAAGATACTGGAGATTGCAAAGAGCACAGAGGTAAAAGCTGCAGCTCGGTTTCGTTGTTAGAACATAACTATGACAGCAGAATAACACCCGACAGATCTAAATCCTTCCGTTAATCAGACTCTGGCTTTAAATACACATTTACTTTTAGGCTCACACATCTGGGGTTTAAATTATAGACGAGTGTTCAGGATTCAAACAGCTTATAGGTGGATTACAGCCAGCTTCTGGTGCAGGTAGACCATCGTAAATCCTACCAGATGCAACTTAAAGCAAGAGAAAAGATGCTTTCAAGACAAAAATAGCTGAACAAATGATAAGAATTGTATTACTTTTCCAACTTAATGGCTGCTTGAATGCTCCAAAATCATGCTGATGCATGGTGCGTACACGTCTGCATGCTCTATGAATCAAAGCCCAATATGCACACAGGGACTGAGTTCTCATTCTTCAAAATGAAAAACCAACAGAAACAACCTCAGAATCAGCTTTTTTCTTATGTACTATAACTTTAGTGCATTAAATAAAGCTGTAAAAACCATTTCACCTTCATGCTGTTTATATTCTTTTACTCTCACAGAGTAAAAAAATAAATCATCCTTTTTTTGTTTTTTTTCCCAGTAATTTTTCATCTGCATGTTATCTTTCCACTCAAACACAGAAATTTCTATTTCACAGCCACAAGCCGTAATCAGAAGATTAAAGCAACCTTCTACTAGATCTAAAAGATAGAAAGAATTGGAAAGGATCTACTTCATTACACCCCTTATACCTATTTTTTTTTTCATGTATAAAACTGCAACGCTTGTGGGATAAATTACTTTTAATTTAAAAGGAAATACCATCTGTCCATCCATCTATCTTCTTCCGCTTATCCGGAGCCAGGTCACGGGGGCAGCAGCCCAAGCAGAGATGCCCAGGCCTCCCTCTCCCAAGCCATCCCCACCAACCTCCTCCACTTATCTGGAGGAACACCAAGGCATGCCAGCTGTGTCCTGGGTCTGCCCTGGGGCCTCTCCCGGTGGGACATGCCTGGAAAAGGAAATACTTGCCTGTGATATCCTCATTGATCCCAGAGTGATGTTTTTGGCCCTGATGAGAAACTGGCTAAAATTTGCTCCTCTGCAGACAGATCAGTGGACAAAACTATGACCCAAGTGAAACGTCTACAAGTCAGAACACTTGTCAAATACCTGAAAAGTCTGAACACCTTAAAACTACAGCAAGTGTTCCTTCTTTATTTAGCATGTTTTGCGATTCTGTTTTCTTCCCTCTTCTTTGTTTTTACTTTTAAATGCCTTATCTAGAAATCTGATTAAACATGAGGGTAGCAGCACGGGTTTCTGTTCATCTACACCACATACATTAAGATTGATGCAGTTTTGCTATCAAAACTACGATATACTCTGTGATAATGATGCTTAATGTTAGCTAAGGAGAGCGGATTTTGTCTTAAGATTGAGACACTTGGAGTGGGTGTAATCTTGATCTGATTTCGTTGTTTAGCAGAACTTTAACCTCTATGTCTAAATTAATACCTGAATTCAGTTTCACTTTTCAAGGTACCGAAGAGTCTAAACCTGTTTCTGTTTCAGAGACGTTAAAATGTGTGACCTCTGTTTCGGTAGGATGAGACTGATGGGGCAGTGTCGGCCATGGTGGTGGAGAAACAGAAGCTGGACAACAAAGTGAAAGAGATGAAGCACATAGTCCAGGTAAAACTATTACGCAGCGTGTAGGTCCCAGCTCGAGGTTGGCCCGGCTCTGCTGGAAAATCTCTAACGGGCTCTTTGACTATCAGGTGGTGGATCAGAACATTAAGAACGTAGAAGACCTGCAGGACGAGTATGACTTCAAAGTCAACACACTGAAGAACAGAGGTGAGGAAATCGTCCAGGCTCAGCTGTAGAGCCAAACCCCAAAATGTGATTGCAGTGATTTGGATGGCTGAGGAAGTACTTTTGGTAATACAGTGAAGATCAACATGTCAAGGGGCAATTTGAGTTATGGAGGCAGAGAAATAATTTCAGAGAGCTGACGGAGTTTTGAGGTTTTGAGCTAAAGCGCACTTGTTGCCAAATGCGGTGATCTGATCTTAAAAAATTGGAACAAAGTAGCTCGTGTTGGTAAAATTACAGAGTGAAAGGCCTTTTCCAAACTGACATATATTAAATGCTCTTAAAAGTTCATTTAAAATTCAATCTATGTTGCTTCCAAGTTTTAATTGTGTGCATTTTTTTTCCTTCTTCCTCCACAGAGAATGAAATGAACGGCATGACGGTGAAGGACCTGGAGAAGGAGAAGATGACAGTCGGGAGGATGTGCTTTGAGCTGAAAGCCAAGCGTCAGGTGACGAGAAACACGACTAACATATAATCCCTTTGAGGTCACTGGGCTGTAACAATAAAGTCATTTTGATCTTATAAACTTTTTCTGTCTGAGGAGTTTTAAACGCCATAACAGGACATTTGATGTGACTGATGCGATGGACTCTTGGGTGTGGGTTTTTTTGTTTTGATTTTTTTAGGACGCTGTGCTCGGGCTGAACGAGCTGCTGAACGTCACTCAGGCCCTGCTGGCAGAGTTGATCTCCGAGGAGCTGCCCGACTGGAAGCAGCGTCAGAAGATCGCCTGCATCGGTGGCCCGCCCAACGCCTGCGTGGACCAGCTGCAGAACTGGTGAGCCGCCCTCTCCATCCCATCTCTTCCTCTTTAATCGCCTCTTTCTTCACTTCCTCTTCTGCTTAGCCATCAATCTTAGTGTCTTTTTCATTCTTCCACCTATATTTAATATTTCCCTCACCTTCCTCATCGTAATTTTTCCATCAGTTTTTTTTCATCAGTTCATTTTGATTAAACACCTGCGAGGATGTGAACCTGTTTGAGAAGAAAGGTTAAAGGGGTTTAATAAGATGTTAAAATAGTTTGATAAAAGACGTAACATGGTAGATAAACAGATGAAAGTGGTCACTAAACGATATGGAAAAATCCTAAATGGAGGAGATAAATGACTGAAAGTAAATGGAGAACCAAAAGTAATCCAGGGTCCAGTTCATGAACAGTTCTTCGGTCGACTGGGTGCTTCATCTGGTGTGTTATCTGATCTTCTGTCCTCGCCCTCCTGCAGGTTCACGGCAGTAGCGGAGAGTCTGCAGCAGGTCCGTCAGCACCTGAAGAAGCTGCAGGAGCTGGAGCAGAAGTTCACTTATGAGAACGACCCCATCACATTGAAGAAGGCTTACTTGGAAGGCCGAGCTCTGGAGCTCCTCAAAAACCTGCTGTCCAAGTATGAAACCCTTCACTCTTTATTGTTATCATTATTATTATTATCATTATTATTGCTGAGTGTTGTTATTATTGGCTGTTAACCTGGATTCTGATCTGTGTGAAGCTCTCTAGTTGTAGAGAGGCAGCCTTGCATGCCCACCCACCCACAGAGACCACTGGTGTTGAAAACAGGCGTCCAGTTTACGGTGAAACTTCGGTAAGAAGTTAAATGTGAAGTGTTTACGTGTCTTTCTGCCCTGACCACTAAATCATTTTTACATTTATATAAGTTATATAATAATTCATATAATTTCTCATTTATATAATTTCTAAAAAAATAAATAAAACAGAACCAGTTTATTACCACTCTTGGTCCTGTCATGCTTGGTATTGATCCAATACTGATACCAACATTGGTATCCATACTATCTATACATCCCTGAGCCTGGCTCTGCTGGAGGGTTCTTCCTGTTAAGAGAGAGTTCTTCATCCCACAAAATAAATAAAATAAGAATTTTTCCTTCTTTGTTTTGTACCCAAATGAAATGAAAACGCAGAAATTGCGTCAGGTGATGTTTATCTGGTGGTGAGCGTCAGCTTCCTGTTTCAGTCTCGTTTCCTTTCGGTTCAGGTTTCTGGTGAAACTGCAAGAGTTTAACTACCAGCTCAAAGTCAAGGCCCTGTTTGATAAGTAAGCAAATTCTCACCTTTGCTTTTGCCGCTTTGAATCATCATGCTGCATGTTTCCAAATATGTAACACTTTTTTTTTTCTCCTCAGGGATGTTACAGAGAAGAAAGGGTACGTCTGAAATGTATTCATACACATTGAAATATATAACGTGTTATTCAGTAACGCAGCTGATTAATAGCTTTCCATTGATCATCTTTGAATCAGGTTCAGGAGGTTTAACATTTTGGGGACAAACACCAAAGTCATGAACATGGAGGAGTCCAACGGCAGTCTGGCAGCAGAGTTCAGACATTTGGTAAAATCAGTGTCTTAGTATTAAACCCACAGTATTCCCTTCCACTGGTTATATATTGTTTTTATTATTTAGGGAGATTTCTTAGACACCCTAATAGTGATGCCTTTCCAACTTAATCTCCATACAGCAACTCAAAGAACAGAAAGGACCTGGAAACAGAACAAATGACGTAAGAGCCTTTAAAACTTTATTCCATATAATACACAAACCTGCTCTGTGTGTTTGAGACTGCAGGTCACATACTGGCTGTTTTACAGTCATCATAGAGGCCTTCAATATGCAACAGACTCGTCTACCTGGATGTTTTTTCTTCCTCTTCTTTAGCTGTAGGAGCGCGCCCTCCTTCTCTGCGCTTATTCTCTTGTGTGGTGGAATATAACCATTAAATTAGTAATTCTGTCCAGGCCGAATGTCACATGAAAATCACCGTTTCAGCTTCCCACGGCATGTTAGTGCGAAAGCTTCAAAATAAAAGTTCTTTAGAAAAAACTGAAGGGATTTTATAGAACTAACAGTGGCCTAAAAAATCATTTTATATGTAATGCACACTAGAAAAAGAAAAGAATTCATTGTCCCGCATTACAGCTTACATAGCTATATGAGGAACCTTGTTCTACTTTATATGTAACCTCTGTAAATGTGACGTAAGGACAGATATGGACACATAGTTTGTTTTGTTGGAGAAAGATTGTAAACTACATTTGATGTGGTTTTACGTGTAGATTGGTGATGTGGAGTGAAGTTTAGTTACAGGAACGTTGCATGCTTCCTGCAGAGGCTTGGGGAAGGGTGTTGTGTGTTTTGGGTAAGCTGAGTGTGTCTCTGGGTGTTCAGGGTCCTCTGATCGTCACCGAGGAGCTCCACTCGCTCAGCTTTGAGTCGGAGCTGCAGCTCAACCAGTCCGGACTCGACATCAAACTTGAGGTGAGACCCGCCCTTTGTTCATGCTCAGAATTAAACTGGAGTTGATAGAGGAGATTAAACCCTGCTGCTTCCTCCTGTCGTTTTATTTATTTCTAGGCCATTTCTCTGCCCGTGGTCGTCATCTCCAACGTCTGCCAGCTACCCAGCGGCTGGGCCTCCATCCTCTGGTACAACATGCTGACCACGGAGCCCAAAGTGAGAACACGCTTTGATTTCAGTCCGCTCCTAGCACCTCCACGTACCCTCGCTTTTGTCTCTTACCAATCTCCAACTGTCATATTTTCCAGAACCTGAAGTTCTTCCTCTCCCCTCCTGCGGCGAAGTGGTCTCAGCTCTCCGAGGTGCTCAGCTGGCAGTTCTCCTCCGTCACCAAGCGAGGCCTGAACCAGGAGCAGCTCAACATGCTCGCTGATAAACTGCTCGGTGAGACGCACAAAAATAACATGTGGTAATGTTTTAAGAAAATTCAAGGCCACTAAATATCTTTTAAAGTCTCTGTTTTATTCATAACAGGCTTAAACCTTAACTATAACTAAAGATCTTAACCCTCAATCTGTCGTTTCTTTACTACTGATGAAATATAAGACGATCTGAGGCTCAGAAAGCTGCAGACCAAAACGAATGGCTCAAAGTCAACAAATGGCCGACTGTCACTGCTGTGCTAATAAACTTCTACCTGCAGCACACATGAATAACCTGCAGATGTTTGTACCTGGTTGTTTTTCTGTGAAGGAACCAAAGCTCAGAGGAACCCGGAGGGACTCATCCCCTGGACCAAGTTCTGCAAGGTGAGCCATAGTCTGATAAGCCTCATTTATCCAGCTGATAATGATTTCATTTATATTCAAAACCAGGAGACTCAGAGGGCAACGTAACAATCACAAAGGTTAAAACTTAAAAAAAAAATGCAATTATGGAGGTGTTGATATAAATAGTTACAAATAAAAACAAAGTCCGTAAAGACTGTTTGATACACTGTACTGCCAAAAGTACTCACTCGCCTGCCTTCACACACACACATCAACTTGAGTGACGTCCCATTCTTAATCCATAAGGTTTGATATGATGTTGGCCCTTTGCAGCTATAACAGCTTCAGCTCTTCTGGGAAGGCTTTCCATAGGTTTAGGAGTGTTTTGAGGAATTTTTTACCATTCTTCCAGAAGCACATTTGTGAGGTCAAACTGTTGATTTGAGGACAGGACTCTGTGCAGGCCAGTCAAGTTCTTCCACACCAAGCTCACTCATCGATGTCTTCATTGACTTTACTCTGTGCACTGGTGAACAGTCATGTTGTACCAGGAAGGGACCATCCGCAAACTGTTCAAAGCTGAGAACATGATATTGTCCAACATGTCTTGATATGCTGAACCCTCTATGTTCCTTTCACTGGAACTAAGGGCCTGAGCCCAACTCCTGAAAAACAACCCACATCATAATAACCGCTCCAACAAACTTTACACTTTGCACAATGCAGTCAGACAAGTACCGTCTAGACCAGGGGTCAGCAACCTTTAACACCCAAAGAGCCATTTGGACCCGGTTTCCACGCAAAGGAAAACACTGCGAGCCACAAATACTTTTTGACATCTAAAATGAAGATAACACTGTATGTATTGTTTTTTACCTTTATGCTTTGTGTGAACAACTAAGGTGTGTTGCTTATGAAATCCATGAAGTGCTACAGAGAAAATTACATTTTATTTATGTAATGAACACATTTTGAACTCTTAAAGAAATATAACCAAAGGAAAACGATCCATGTAGCAAAGAAAAACTGTTGTGTGCCACCCTTATATCGTCTTTGGGCTTTTGGAGCGTAGCAGAGCCTTGACCTGAATTTTAAAAAATAATTGGAAAAAAGCACTACGCTACTATGCAACGGGGCGATTGTGGCTCAAGAGTTGCCGGTTCGAGCCCCGGCTCCGACAATCTCGGTCGTGGTGTCCTTGGGCAAGACACTTCACCCGTTGCCTACTGGTGGTGGTCAGAGGGCGCCAGTGTCCGGCAGCCTCGCCTCTGTCAGTGCGCTGTGGCTACAATGTAGCTGCCATCACCAGCGTGTGAATGTGTGGATGACTGAATGTAGTGTAAAGCACTTTGGGGTCCTTAGGGACTAGTAAAGCGCTATATAAATGCAGGCTATTTACTAAAAAATGAAAAATAAATATTTGCATAAATATTTATTTATTTACTTATATTTATTTTACCTGGTAAATGTGTGTGGCGGGGCGTGGTCTGCAGTGCCGCTGCATGTGAGGAGGCGGACGCACCTGAGCGGCACCCGCAATCATGCCTCGCCGCCTTAACGTCTGTGCTCTCTATGCTGTTGTGTTGGTGTGTGTCGGGCTGTGAGCTGAAAAGCTACAGCCGGCTGTATACGTACAGCAACCGTGTGTGAAAAGTGGTCAATAAAGAGATGCTGAAAAGCATGTTCATGCAAATATCGTCAGGTCTGCCATGATATGTTTACAATGGAACTTCTGCTGCTGAACCTCTGCGCACAGTGAAGTGACTTTCATCTTTGCACGGGACTGTAAGCGGTCATCTGTGAGGCGTGAGCGGTGTTTGTTTTTAACATAGTTCACGGTGGAGCTGCTGACATAATGTGGATCTGAAGATCCATAATTAGCCTACCAGGGGTTGAAAGTCTCGGGAAATGCACGGCGTTTCGGCGGGTATACCGGCTTCCGCGAGTGTGACGCTATTTTGAGCGACGAAAAATAATAAAATATAATTTTATTTTTATATTTCAAAATCACAATAATCTTCCAATTTAGAACTACAAGTTTAAAAATAACTAACACAAAAAATACACTTCAGCTAAATACTTGTCATTTATTTTCCCAAACCACGCGGAGCCGCAGTATAAGGACTGCGTCTACACCAGGTTGCCGACCCCTGGTCTAGACTGAAAACTGTGATTCTTCGCTCCAGAGAACACGTTTCCACTGCTCTAGAGTCCAGTGGTGGAGTGCTTTACACCACTGCATCTGACGCTTTACATTGGCAGTCTTTGGTGATTGACTTTGGAGAAAGTCTGCATCCCACAGCTGACTGGAATATTTAGTAGTAAGGAAATTTCATGCCTGGACTTGTTGCACAGGTGGCATCCTGTCACGATACCATGCTGGATTCATTCAGTCATTCATTCACTGAGCTCCTCAGAGCGACCCAAATGTTTGTAGAAACAGTCTGCATGCACAGGTGGTGGATTTTATCCAGTCGTGGCCATGGAAATGACTGGAACACCCGAATTTTAAGATTTGGATGGCTGAGTGAATACTTTTGGCAACATAGTGTATTTATATCAGTGTCTTCATCTATATCCATCTAACAAGTGGGTATCTTTGTCATCAGCTTCTTTTCTATTGGCCCTAAGTTTACTCCCAAATAAAGCTTTTAAAGATTGTTTTAATGTTGAGTATAACTGACGCTTGAGCCACGTTCCCATGGCTGCAGCCTCCTCAGGCAGCTTGCTCCAAAGCCTTGACTCTGGAGCAGCTGCCTCGTGATCTGAGCCAACAAATATTCGCCTGTAATCACTTTTATTCATCGTGCACTGAACCAGACTTTGTGATTCGTCCAGCAGCAGAGCGCAAACGAGAAGGCGTTCCCTTTCTGGTTGTGGATTGAAGGTATCCTGGACCTGATCAAAAGACACCTGCTGTCCCTCTGGAACGATGGGTGAGTGGCGCTCTAGTGAAGCTGCGAGAGTCCGTGGGGGGAGAATTTAAGCGGTAAACATGAGTTTGTTTGTTTTCTCCTCCTGCAGCTGCATCATGGGATTCATCAGTAAGGAGAGGGAGAAGGCTCTGCTGACTGACAAGTGTCCGGGCACCTTCCTGCTCAGGTTCAGCGAGAGCAGCCGAGAGGGAGCCATCACCTTCACCTGGATCGAACACGACGTCCACGGTAATAAAGTCACTTCATTTGACCTTCATTTACACTTTCAACAACACAAAACTTGAAATTTTGAAGGTTTTCATGATTAAACGTCTCTAAAGATGTGGCTGACGAGACATTTTTATTTTGGGAGATTTCTCTACGACTTCAAATCAAACCACATGAACCAATAGCCTTGATGTCCTGTGCAAGAAGTAAGTTTGAAGGAGGTTTAGTCCTCAGATTTAATCTCTTTGGTCTCTTTTTCCACGCAGACAAGCCGGTCTTCCACTCCGTGGAGCCGTACACGAAGAAGGAGCTTTCCGCCGTCTCGCTCCCCGACATCATCCGCACCTACAAGGTAATGGCAGCGGAAAACATCCCAGAGAACCCGCTTCGCTTCCTCTACCCCAACATACCCAAAGACAAGGCCTTTGGGAAGTACTACCCCAAACCATCAGAGGGTAAGAGCTGCTGTTACGTTTGGTTTTCGCCCATAAATACTCTGATACTCTGCAGACCTTCATCCAAGCTTCATTTACCTTCCAGCTGCTGAACCGATGGAGTTTGAGGACACGGACAAGACTGGCTACATGAAGACGGAGCTCATTTCGGTTTCAGAAGTGTAAGCAGAGAGAAACAAACGCATCACGACTAAAGAGAAAGACTTAACGTGTAATCATGGTTTGTGTCCGTGTGGTTCAGACATCCGTCCAGGCTACAGGACAACATGATGCCGATGTCTCCGGACGACTACAAGGCTCTGGAGCAGTACGTGAGCCCCAGAGACATTGACGCTGTGGTGAGTCAGCACTGTTTAAACTATAAATTTGGTATTAGCCGAGCAGTAGTAAAACTTCAAAAAAGTACAACGCAAACCAGAAATGAAGGCTGTTCACCTTCAAAGTAAAAGTTGCAATCTTTGTAACCTAGGGTGCTTGGGAAATAAAAGCGTCTGGACTTCTTTAAGTTTCCTTTAACCTCCTAGGACCCGAACTCTTCCAAAGCATGCATTTTTAATTTCTTTTTGATATTTGGGCATATTGGGGCCCGATGAATGTAAAAACAAAGAATTACCAGATTTTTTTTTTTTACCTTTTGTTTTTAAGAAAAATAAGAGCCACATATGAGGATATTCGTTTAAAATTTTGACAGAACAGTAGCAGTATAATGTCCTCGTAGGTGTATATCAGGCCCTTGTAGAGCAAAATTGAGTATTTTGGTCTAAATAACCCAAAATGTGATGTCCACATATGTGGACACCAGGTCCTAGGAGGTTAAGATGTTTCACCTCCTATCCAAGAAGCTTCTTCAGTTCTAATTGATCCTCTATCGAATCACAAAGTCCAAGGTGTGAAAACGGTGTGGGTCACAATCAGCCAAGGTGTCGGGTGTACGCCTTGTGAAGCCCAGCCCCACCCTATCATGTGATTTACTGAGGTCAGATGGCCCAGGGTGTGAGTGGGCGTTAAGGTGTCTGGGAAGGGATCTCAAAACTGGCGTATAGATGGCAGACAGTTGGCGTTGTAAACCATCGCCTCTGTTCAAAGACAGTCGTTCACAGTGGACATAGATGGCGTCTTTCACTGTCTTTTTCAAACCATCTGTCCTCTCTGTCCAAAATGTGAACATTGGCATCCTTAAAAGAGCGACCTTTGTCCTTTAGATGCAGATGAACAGCTGAGTCTTGTCCCGTGGAGGAAGTTCTTCTATGTTGTGCCATGCGTTTATGAAGTGGCTTTAAGTCCAGATGCTTTTCTTTCCAAGCTCTTTAGACTATGATGACCTGGATGACTAAGAACCTTCACAGACACTTTTTGTCACCCTTTGCCAGAGCTTTTATTTTGAAGGCAAACGATCTTGAGCAGTTGGGCAATGTCTGTAGACAAGTCCAACTGCTCACAAGGAGGTCTTTGCCAATCGGATGGGCAATACGCATTTTTCCCTAGCAACAGGTGGTTGTCAGGGACCAAATTGTCAGTACGTTTAACTGAGGCTTTAGCAATTATTTTCCCACCAACTATCACAATTCATTTCTCTCTCACAACTGGTCTGTAAGCGTGTGTGAGTGGAACTTTATTTGCTCGATCCTACATCATCACAATGACAAAATGGCGGACAAGTTAATATCACATGCTTATTGGTCATGTGTCCTCAAATCCTCAGTTTTACCCATCATCACTTGAAGTTGCTGGTTGTCATTGACTCTCTTGTCACCACCTTGCTGCTCTCTGTGTGGATGGCCCTTTCAGCACCACCTTGTGGCAGTATGCAGATTGCAGCGGGCAAGCAGGAGCCCGAGGATTTGGACTGATTCTGGTTCATCTTCACTTTCATTGTTTCCATTCGTGTGTGTGTGTGTGTGTGTGTGTGTGTGTGTGTGTACTTACTTTTTGGTGAACGAGGTCGCCACAAAACCGAGAGGTCCTGTCAGCAAGACCATCAAGTTTGGTGCAACCAGGAGGGTGAACCTGAAGATCAAACCTCCTAAAACATGTTACTGTTGTCTTCTGTCTATGCAAAGATGCAAATTAATGGAAATTTGCTCTGCATGCTCTGAATGGGGACAATTGTCCAAAACCCATCAGCAGTGATTCCCCTCACTTGGCCATCAGTTAGAAATGATGAAGGAGCTTATTGATGGCGTCTGAAAGCAGCTGGCCCTGAATCCTTACACTCTGATGTCATTTAGAGATGAAAAGAGAGAAATTTTGAGTAATCTTTGTCTCTTTTTTTAAAAACATGGCAGTATAAATGACCTTCTGCCCCTGGAGAAACAGTTTTTGTTTTGTTTTTCCTCTTGGCACTGCATGATGTCATTGAAAAGGGACTTCCTTTTATGGACACCAGTTTCTAGTGTTGGGACAGGCTCCAGCCCCCCTTTACTGCATCAGCTGTTCCTGTTGTCTATCCCTCTACAATGTTTCTGTCTGTCTTCTAGGTCTGCTTTCAGGCCAACAATCTGCTGGATCTCGAAGACTTTGACCATCAGGTAGATGCAGCTTCAGCGTTGCGCTGCTGTGTGTTAAAGTTTAGTCGGTGTAGCTTTGACACACCTGCTGCATGTTGCTATACTAATGTTTAAACTCCCTCAAGTGTTTAGTACATCATCCTCACTTGTGTGGGCCGCCCAGGTAGATTAAGTTTATTTCCTTTTTTTTTTTCTTCTTTAAAAGAAAATCCATCTGACAGGACAACGCGGTCCATGATTTGGACAGCCCTCCTCGTTCTTATTTTCAAAGTTTAGGGTCCAGCATGATTTTGGAAGGGTTTCTAAAGATTTTAACATTTATTTGGCAGTTTAGCAGTCAAGACTTGATCGGAAGGCGAGAGGGTGCAAGGAAAGATGAAGCAAAGGATTGCTGGTCGACCAAACCCAAGCTTTCAGCTATAAGGCATGCGTGCCTGCTAACCAGTAAACTAAACTGCACCACTGGTTTTTAGACTGGCTTCTGACATGCCAATTTCTGATATGACTTTGAACTGGTTTCTGACCCTTTTTTGACATGAGTTTTGACTGTTTTCATTTTTATTTGAGTCGGTAGCTGCGCTTGGTCTCAGTATTGTATTTTTTCACGTAATCCAGTCTGCCTCTGTGATGTTGAGCTCTGTACTGTGTGATTTAGACCACTGGCTACAGGACACATTGTTCTTCATGTAGCTGAGAATATTTCCCAGATGTATTTTGGCCTAAATTGTCTCAATTTTGTTGAAATGAGAACATTGATAATAAAAGCATGAAGCTCTTCTTCCTTGCTAACCCTGTTACCCTGTAACTGCCAGCACGTTTTGTGTTTTTCTGTTTTCTCTGTAATATTGTAGGTTCTTTACCTTACAATATAAAGCGCCTTGAGGGAACTGTTGTTGTGATTTGGAATTATATTAAAAATAAAAAAATTAAATCAAATTTTACTTATTTCTTTTCAGATGAGTGCAGCAGACTTTCGAGATGGAAACTGAAGGGAAGTCATATTCCTTTGACCTTCATTCTTCTCCTTGTACTGTACTTTTCACCAGAGGTCATCAGGTTATGTACTCGACTCTTAGATTCCTGTATGATTTTGACAGCACGGTCACCTTTCAGAAACAGGAGAAAATTTTCTCCTTTTTATTTGTATATAGTGTTTCTTTTTGATTAACTGTGAACTTTAAAGCCCTCAGTATCCTCTGCTGTAAAACTGTAGCATTTAAAACGTTTCTGCTTGCTTCATGAGAAATGATCATCATAAATGACTGTTTGGATTCATTTTATCAGTATAATAAATGCTTGTATTAAAATGAGTCAGTCATGCTTTGTTTTTAAGGTATAAAAACCTACTCTTTCACTCACCCCCTCCCTGATCCTGTTGTGAGGTTTCTTCCTGTTTAAAGGGAGTTCTTCTTCCCCACCATCGCATCATTTGATGGTTAGGGTTCTTTCAGTAATACTGTCTGATCTTTACCTTTATAATAAAAAGCATTAAAACAACAGTTGCTATAAAATTATATAAAAAGTATAAAATTAAGTTAACCTCCTAGCACCTAGCGTCCACATGTGGACATCACATTCTGGGTTTTTGCTCTACAGGGGCCTGATATCCACTTACGAGGACGTTATGCTGCCACTGTTCTATCAAAATTTAAAACAAATGTCCTCTTATGTGGATCTCATTTTTGTCAGAAACAAAAATCAGGTTAAAAAAATAAATAAAAAATTCTGCTAATTGTTTGTTTTTTACATTCTTCAGGTCCCAATCAGCCCAAAGAGCAAAGAGAAATCAAAAAGGCATGCCATGAAAGAGTTCGGGTCTTCGGAGGTTAAACTGAACTAACACACTGTTAAGGTTACAGGTTTCACACTGATATTTTTCTGCTGCTTCTAAACTGGGCCAAGTAACATCAGTATAACGATTGATACATGTACTGTCAACAGAGCAACTGATTTTACAAAGATGAGAGTTTAAACAATGCAGACCAAAAACACAGATGCTGCAGTGTGAGAGGAAAAGCATTGTGAGGTAATATACTATTCAAAGGATGTTCTTCAAAAGTTTTGGCCAGTAAGGCTGGAAAAGATCTAATACATTAATAAAGTTTAGACTTTGTGAAGGCAGGAAGTGAGTTGAGACTCACAGCTCTATCACTGAGATGCAGGAGAATCTGAATTATTTCAATAAATTCATTAAAAAAAAAAAAAAGGATGGTTTTCAATTTTTAGTCTTTCAGCTGCTTCGGCGCTATGTACAGTAGCGCTCAGAGTAAAGAAAATAAAAACAGAATTCAAATACGCTTAGTCTACCTGCAAAGTACAAACAGATATCCTCTTTTAGGGTCATACAGTCCCAGTCAAAAGTTTAAGACTCGAAAAATGGCAGAAAAAATCGTATTTTGCATGGTTGGATCTTAACAAGGTTCCAGGTAGAGCTTCAATATGCAACAAGAAGAAATGGAGTGAGACTAAACATTTTTTAATTGGTCTTAAACTTTTGTTTAGTAATGTTTAAAGAACAATAACTGTTGAACTGTTTACAGCCAACAGGTGGAAAAAAGTCACAGAGCAAAATTGTGTTTTAGAAAACAAATTTCACAACACAAAGACTTTAGACCTTCCTGGCGTTGACACACAGAGGTCAGAGGGATCTTCCAGGAGTGGCGATGCTGGTCATTTAATTTCAAACCTGTTGCTCTGGAGTGAGTTACTGTATCTAGATAAGATGAAATCCTGACTACTGGCCTCAGGTGTCTGCCACCATGTTTCAAACTGGTTTTAAAATCTATTTCTTCCATTATTCTGAACTGGTTCTAGACTGGGACAGTTGCTGTGAATTTAAAGATCAAAGTTTAGTCTAGTTGTACACAAAAATGTTTCCTACAAGCTAAATATTCTCCAGCCCAAAGTCAAGAGTGCTGCGGCTGACTTAAAAACCAAAGAAATCTCATGGGGCCCATCCAATCTTAACCTTCACTCTAACCAAAATACATCACTTTTACTTTCTCTTGTATTTCACTGAAAATTGTATTTAAAAACAAACCACACATAAAATACTAAAACTACTCAGTCATAAGTGTTACCAGGTGAGACATGAGTAATATCACCAACAACTACCATACTGCCTGTAAATACATTTATATAAATATGTTACTGTACATACTCGAGTAATGCCAAAAGTTGAAGTCTTTGAATATCAGGAAAATAAATCTGTTTGATCAAATACAAACAGGTGAAGTTTTATATTTTAAGACCTACTGCTCTCTTATTTAATTTCAGCCAGTTAAACGTCAGTTTTATATCATCACATTAAAGGTACTTTTTTCTTTTCTTTACACATTTACAGAGTTTTAGCACTTTTTGTTGTCTTCGGTCATTCGCAGTGTTTGCCGGTTATTCCGAGCTTTCACTGGCTGTGGGTTCAACCTCGGGCCTGTCAGTGACTTTTAGAGGCTTGAAAAGTGAAGCACAAAAGGGTTGATCTGCTTTTCATCTGACCAAGCCTTCACCTGCTGTGAAAGGAAGTAAAAAGCCTACTCACTGAGTTATCAAGGAAAAGAAATACTGAAATCCTCTTGACGTTTTCCCTTTTTTTTTTTTAGGTGGAATAAAGAAAAAAGCGTGTGGTAGCTCTTGTATCGCCTGAGCCATCTTTTCAGACGAGAGAAGAGATATTAAAACGTGACGATGGAGATGGTCGTGGGTTTAACCAGCATCATGGCGGTGAAGGAACCTCCTAAATCATTCATATAAAACTCAAACAGCCAGCTGGTTTTTCTGTTTTTATTCTGTGAATAAATATCTGGGCCGCCTGCATTTGCTCAGTGAGCTGCAGCAGCTTTACATACACATGAAGAAGAAACAGAACGACACCAAACACGTTACATTCAGAATACTTTGGACTTGGATTTGGATCAGTTCACCTCATCCTACAATCACGTCATCTTATTGCTACTAGTGTCAAAAATATTGGTGTTTTGTGCTTCCTTTAAGTTCCTTTTTTAATTTGAAATGTAAACTGGATGAACTGATCCAAACCCGAGGAAAAAACAAAAACTGTTTGTGGATTTTCTAAGTTGTGGATTACATTACAGACTGTCTGGTTCAGTTTGTTTGCTCAAAAAGAAGTAAAAACAGTCAAGCGTGCTTCAGACACACAAAAACACATCTGCTTTTCAAGTATGACTGCTCCTCCAAAATAAAAGCCTTTAAATTTGAACAGCAGAAAATGAGAGGATCAACAAAGGAAGCAGTTCACTGGTTGTTAAACGAATGCTGGATGTTTTTAATTCCAACTTTAACTAGCTTAAAATGCAGGATTAATTAAGATGTAGATCCGAGGACTTACATGTGGAATTTTCACGTCTACAGCAGGAAAGAAAAAAATAAAGTACTCAAGCAGTTTCTTTTAATTCTCCATTTAAATAACACTGCATTTAAATGTTGTTTGGGGGGATTTTACAATTTGTGCCTAGAAACTACAGAGGCTGTCGTCAGACACTGGTAGAATTACCAATAAAGTTTTAAAAAGAAGTTCAATGAGGAGAAAGATTAAGAACCATCTATACGATATATAGATGATTTATGAAGTCAAAAGAAAAGTAAGGTGAAACTGTCGAGTTGCTCTGTGTTATCTTAATCCTAGAGAACGTACAGGTTGCTAGGGAAACATGCGTATTCATTTTAAGGTCGATTACAAAGACTAGTGTAGCAAAAACCTCGCTTTAGTGGCTAACAGGCTGCTGCATTTGTGCAGTTTGTATGGAAGACTCCAACTTGTCTGACACTTGCCAACTGCTCACTGAGTGGTAGAGAAATTATGAAGACTGAGAACAGACCTCTGCAGACCGGTCGGCATCTTCGATGCCATCAACAGGCGATCACAGCAACCTGCTGACTATCAGAGCAACAGTCTTTGCAACCAATTTCAACTCAGCGACAAGTCTCTAGGTCTCTATTAGCGAGACCTTAAAATGTTTAAACTGATTAAAATGTGACGCTTTCTGTTTTCAAACAAGGCCACTAAAGGATTTGTGATAATAACTAGAATAGTAAGAGTAGTAGTAGCAACTTTCACAGTACTCCTTAGTTACTTTAAAGCAACTCACAGGGACCAATCAACTCACTGTTTATGCCACATACTGAAATACACTAGACAGACTTTCAAAATAAAAGTATTGAAATATCTCCATTGCTGAGTGCATCCATTTTCTGCTGTGACTTCTTTAAACTAAGACAAAGTGTAAGAAAAACATTTTCTTGCATGTTTACAGTCATTCACTCTCCCTGCAGGAGCCCTGGCAGTGTCGCGTCTGATATGCAGAAACGCTTTCAATGGTCAGGAGACGAAGTAGGAACTGAACTTTGGCTGGCTTGCTAAAGTAAATAAAAGAAAAGGGTGAAAATTCCAGTTTTAGTGGAAAAACAACAACAATAAAAACAAAAAACCCTTTAACTCATCTGTCGCCACATTAAAAAACTGCTTACGAAAAAAAATAAGAAGAAGAATTTTATGGTTCAAATACTATCCAAAAGTTTGACTGAAACACACACTGTCATCAAATCTGAACCCATCACCACACGAGACCGATCGACTACACATTTTTACACCTATTTACAGAGACTCGCCGTCCTCGGTTAATATACACAAACACTACAGTAATGTACAGTTTATCTTACATCGATTATCACAAACGCACATCAAAAAGTGTTTGGGGGGGAGGAGTTACATTCCATAACAAAGGTTTTATACTGCTGCTGCTTCCTGTTGCTGATGTTCAGAATAAAAAGAACCGTCAACGTAAAAGCTGAAACACGGAAAATAAGAGTACTTCCACACTCAGAGTACACACACGCGATACAAAAACCCAACGACACCTAAAGAGAACATGATGACGAGCATTTACACTCGGAGGGAGGCGGCTGCTGCGCTAACAGATACTGTAAAGGTTTGTTTTCAGTTATTTCAGCGATGAGTCTACTTGCGATCTTTCCAGTTTTTTGTCTAAAGCACCGCCTGATCTCTTCCCCTCGCCGGCGTAGGCAAGCGCCCGGCCTCACACGCCTGAGCAGCGCATTCTCCATCACAGCAGCCCGTCCAGGTTCTCTTCGTTCTTCTTGGCCGTGCTGCCTTCCTGATGGGTGTACTGATTGTGGTAATCGCGGAGGATGGTGACGACGTCATGGTGGCCGAAGTGCACGGCCTCATCCATCGGCGTGTTCCCCCACCTGCACCAGACACGAAGAACTTTAAACACAAATCCACCTCGTTTCATTTAACACATCTGGCTCAAAGAAATTCCCTCCATCTCCATCTATCTAGATAAGGTTTTTTTTTTTTTTTTACATGTATTTATTAAAAAGATAACTAAAGTAAAGTGTGGTCTCGGTTACCTGTCTTTGGGAACTGGGTTGACCTTGCAGGCCTCCAGCAGGAAGCGGACCACCTCAGCATGTCCTGAAACACACAAACATCGGGTCAGCTGACCGAACAGAGTAATTGCCATGACGACAACCTGACTGTACGCATTTCACCTTCAGCGGCGGCCACGTGCAGCGCTGTCCTCGAGTCGTAGTCCCTCTGCTCCATGTCCATGGAGGACAGCGCAAACCTGCACAAAGACAGAACAGCCAAGCAGGAAGGAAGGAGTGAGAGCCATGTGGAAACAACCAGACTAATTTGGACTTGGTTCAATCATGTGGGTTTCTTTAAGTTTCAAGCTCTTTGCGATGGTGCTGAAGGTAAATTACCTAAAGACTAGAAGTGATGTTTGCAGACTAAACTGGGGGGGAAAAGCCATCTAGTGGCTGACATCTTCATATCAGACCTCTACCTCCTTTTCCTTGGTGGACATGCTGCACCTCAGCTGTTCAGAAGAGACTCAAAACAGGCAAAGATGTCTTTCCCTTTTTGCAAACTCCCTGATTTTGGCTTCCCACAACTGCATGACTATTACTGACTGATATTTAAAATGCAGGCTCTGCCAATGAAAATGCAAGGAGCTAATTTAAGCGGTCCCTAAATCAGTACTGATGGTGTGTCCCCATGTGCTAATCACAGCCTTCCCCTGCACTGAGCAGCTTGAAGTTTACAGGACTAGTCTGAAGACAGACAGGCACACAACAAAAAATAAATGTGGATACTCCCACTAAGCAGTTCCGATTGAATGCAAGTGACGTTAAATAATAAAAACATTGCAATGATTTCTAACGCGATCTGTTCAACATCAGTTCAGATGTCCCATAAAAGCGAGGCTGTATCCATCCAGCTCTCAACTGAAATGGACTGAAATCAACCAATCACTTTCCACTTGGCCATAGACAACTATCCAGTAAACATGATTCGCTAGTTTCAGGAAAATGATCAGTTTACTAAAGATACATTATCCCCCTCCAAAGTGTCAAAATCCTGCAGTGTTTGCAGAACATCACAGCAGAAAAAGAGGAACCGTCAAGTAGTTTTATTCACATCCATCGTGGGAACCCAATGAATGGAATGAAAGACTTTATATTATTAGCCTGCAAAGATTAATTTAGAAATATTAACTTACAGGAACGTAGCAGAATGTAAAGATGAGAGCAGGACCCTGCTGATTTAAATTGGTGCCAAGTTTTAGTGCAGTTTTTTCCCCCCAAACCAACAAGTCAAATAATCCAATTGGTGTGCCTGGGCCCAAGTGATGTAGATGCTGTCATCAGATGGTGAGCGCTCAAGTCTACACGGAGGTTTGTGTACCTGCCTGTTATCTGTGTGTGGTGGCCAAAAATCATATATGAAATTAAAATCAAATGAATGTCTCCGTGCTGTCCAACGGTCCTGAGTGTTACTGACACTAAACCTGAGAGCTGGCGTACCTCCTGAGAGCTGACACGTCTCCTGTGTAAGCAGCAAACAGCAGGTTGATGACAGACTTCACCTGAAACACGAGAAAACAAAGCAGAGACCGTGATGCTATAATAATGCATCATAGCTTAGTGTTACTGTGTTTTTGAAATATGGTAGAACTGAAAAATCTAATATTTGTTGTTTTTCATGTGGTTTAATGTACAGTGAAAGACACCAATGATCAGGTTGTGTAAAGCTGGAAAATAACACAGCTGATGCAGTAATCTTCCAGCAGATGGCGCTGTGGATTAAGCTTCCACAAACAAGGAGGGTAATCTGCCTTTTATGGTGACACTTAGAGTCAAAATCAACACAAACTGCTCTAAACCGCAGAAAATAATCAAAATAATTACATCAATGATCTCTGTTGGTGCGTTAAAAGGAACTTCCGCTTATGTTAGTTATGTTGCAGTGCAGTCTGGGTAGTGATGTCTGGTGATTTCTGATCAGTCTTTTTCAATCTGAACCCCACAGTAATGTAACTCAGACATTACTCACTGTGAAGAAGATCACAGCACACAAGCTAACAGCAGCTTTAATGGCTCAAAATATGCATCAAACATTCAGGATTTTAACACCGCACTCCAGCAGAAGGACATTTACAGCGTGTAAAGGTCAAAATAGTCGAGGTTGTGAAAATGGAGAAGGATGAAGGCTGATGGTGCTGGCGCTCACCCTCTGGTCTCCTCCCTCCCTGCGAGGATCCAGCTTCTTTGCAAAGTGCCTCAGGTTGTCATAGTTGTGGAAGTTACACAGGGAAACCAAATCCTAAAAGGAGAAAACATGACCCAAATATTAAAAAAGAATAATAAAAGTATCTTAGGGTGAGATAAAGGAGATAAAGGATTATTTTGAACTTTGAACTACTGGTGGTGGTCAGAGGGCCCGGTGGCGTCTGTGTCCGGCAGCCTCGCCTCTGTCAGTGCGCCCCAGGGCAGCTGTGGCTACAATGTAGCTTGCTATCGCCAGTGTGTGAATGTGTGTGTGAATGTGTGTGTGAATGGGTGAATGACTGAATGTAGTGTAAAGCGCTTTGGGGTCCTTAAGGACTAGAAAAGCGCTTCACAAATGCAGGCCATTTACCATTTTGAATCATGCAAAGCTACTCAAGCATAGTCCAGGAAATGACTTTAAAGATGATGTTACCGTGCAGAACTGGATGCCTCTGACGCTGTTGCCCAGCTTGTCGAGCGGAGGAGACCAACACATGATGCCCATCACGTTGGGAACGACCAGCAGGATCCCGCCAGCCACACCCGATTTAGCCGGCAGACCAACCTGAGGCAGAAAGAGAGAATGTGTGATGTGAGATTACCTGTTAAAAGTGTGGCTCACATCTTTCTTAAAGTAACCAACAGATCCCAACCCCCCCCCCAAAAAACCATTACAGTAGAGCACTGTATTTTCAATTGTCTAAGTTATAGGAAACCCTGCAATTGCAGATTGCAGATTTTTAAAGTTCTGGTGCAAAACGGGAAAACAGGGAGATGGTAGCAGGTTGAACATGAGATCAGGACGAGGAGATACTGACGTGAAAAGCAAACTGTCCCGAGAAGTCATACATGCCGCAGGAGTGCATCAGACTCAGGGTGTTTCGCACAGACTCAGGGCTCAGCACACGCTCGCCCGTGATTGGACAGAAACCGCCGTTGGCCAGAGTTGCCGCCATAACGCTGGCACTCTCACAGGTCACCTCGATGGAGCACAACTGATTGAGAAACAAAGATTCGTGAATGATTGGATCACAATGACAAACAAAAATCCTGTCCCATTAGTGATTCCACTGCATCAGGATGAGCTCTACTCACCTGGAAGTAGAAATCCAGGATGGACGTCATGTCCGTCCCCTCTGGAAAACACTGTTAAAGATAAAAACACTTTAAAATGGGAACTCATAACACACCTGCTGCTTTTCTTCAAACAGAAAAAAGGAAAACCAAGAGACATCAAAGGATAAACCAGGTGATAAACTGATTAATTACTGGAACAGAAATCCTAATATTTATGCAGAAATACCAAAAATAAAATTCAAAATACAAAAGCTAAGAATGAAATCACAAATATAGTGTGTTCACAAAAGGAAGAAAAGCTTCCTTTTAAACAACAAAATCCCGTCTCAGTTGTCAGCAGCATCTAATCTCACCTTCTTCTCCTTCAGGTAGTAGCCAATGGCGAAGTTTCTGTCTCCAGACTCACGCTCTGACTGGAAACTGAGCCACACAGAGAGAGGAGAGAGGTTTATTTCATGATGCGACTCAGATCCTGTTACATGAACTCAAACTGAACCAGGAAGTTGCTGCGAGACCTGAGATCCACCTCAGAGATGCAGAACTGTTTTGTAAACAAGAAATCTGTCAAAGACATTAAAGTGCTTCATTTCATCTAAACATGGAAAATCTGTTTTATTTCTAACTCTGCTGCACTCACGTGGCATTGCTGAAGCCCACATACTCGTTTCCTGCCAGCTTGTTCATGAAGTTCATGACCTGCAGAGCAGAAGAGCAGATTCAGAGTAAACACGCAACACAAACACAAGACTACGAAGAAGGCTCAAGGACACTGAGCATACATATAAAAAAATAAATAAATAATAATGATAATGCAGAGCAGCTGACGCTAAAGTTAAAATTGAAAGAATAAAACTGAAACTTCTACAAATAAGTCACAATTGCTGGCATTAACACTTACTCAATTTAAGAAAACAAATATACAAATTTGGGTAGAAAATCATTGTTGTAACTTCATCAGTTATACATGAAATTACAACAATACAATTAAAATATCCAAAATAAACTTGTAATTTTAGTACAAAATCATAAACTTAAATCTAAATTTTAACCAAAATATTGCAATTTGGAATATAATACTGAAATTATACAACTAAAATAATACTTAAAAAAGTAAAACTTTCACAATAAAATCATCCTTTACAGTTTAAAGATTACATTTTAAAGACAAAGGGATATTCAAAGTATTCAAAAAATAAGAGTAATTGTAATTTTAAATAGTCTAAATATTAAGAATATTAAATATTAAGATTTAAACCAAACTTTTGAGACTACAAAGTAAAAACATTATGATTAAAGTAAAAACTATGTCAAGACTAAAGACAACAGAAAAGTTAATTAAATAAAAATGTTTAATGAATAATGTCGTATAAAACAACAATATATAAAAATAAAATTCAAATTTGACAAATGTCAATGAAATTTTGAGTGTGAAGCTAAAATTTCAAGAATAAAATTGAAAATAAAGTAGAAATATTCACAATTAGAATCAAATTTTTGAGAATAAAAACAATTTTAAAGTGTAAGTGTTGAAGAAAAAGGTATAATTCCAAGAATAATGTAGCCCTGACATTTTTTTTTATATAACTTCAGTTTGGAAACTTCTCCTTCAGTCAATATTTAAATATTCAATAAATCTTCCCAATAGTACTCACATAATCAAATTTCTCAGCGTTGCTTGCCCCTTGCTGTAACACAAACAGAACCAATCAAAATATTCATAAAACAAAAACTGCAGTAATAAAAGCATGAAAAACGGTCACCCGTGTGACGACATTAGCACTATCACGTATGATCCACGTCTCTATGAAATTAAGCTACGGCAGGAAAACAGTGCAGGTTTACATCACTACTCATGTGACCAGTTAAAAAGGCCATTCAGGCATGACGTCAGATGAATTAAGATTAGGGGTGGGAGACTAGCTGGAGATGGAGGTGAACGAAAATTGTTAAATCCACTCTGGGGCTTCTGCTTTTTTGAATAGAGAATTAAATAAAAGGTTCATTTAAATAAGTGACTTAAGAGCACAGCTACTGATTACTACAGGCGTGTTTACTGTATGGTTACGTGATTAGACTTTAAGGTGCAATCACACTGCGAGCCACAAAATTAAGTTCATATTTATCAATCTGCTGCTTCTACAGCTTTCTGTAGTCATTTACAGTAACTGGTGCGTTGGTGTGGCGTGGACGATGGGGAATTGTGTGAAATATTACGTTTCTTTAACACTGAAGCCTTTTTTTTGCATTTCTTTTCACTTCCAGTGAAAAGAAATGCAAAGAGATTCAGTGATTTCCAATCACTGAATCTCTACAAACCAGATGTTTGTAAAGAAGACTTCATTACAGTTTGTGTTGATCTCAGAGTATTACAGAGTCACCAGATCATCTAGATTTGGTTTGTCGAGGTATATTTGAATGAATTATGTATCACAGTATGTTTGTATCATTTAAGTTTTTCTTCTACTTGGATTGAAGTATGAGAAACAACAGCAGAGTCATTTTAAAGACGTCTGCTTTATAAAATATAATTTCACTCCTTGGTCATTTTAGTCCCTAAAATAAGGGGTTAAGGGTTAAAGGCTCCGGTTTACAGGTCAAAGTCAAAGAAAACTTCTGGTGCATTGTGGGAAATGTAGGAGCCACTGTATTTTAAGCCCAACAGTTGCTTCAGCCTTTCTGAGGCCAACATTTCTTTGTCCTACCTGTTTACAGATTTTATTGATAATTACGATAACTGACAAATACAGATGTTGATGTGGAATGAAACCTTACTTATTTTACACCTAATGTCATTTAAATTGTTTCAACTCTACTCGATTCTATTTGAGTCCTTTCATTAAATCATGTTTCCCTACATTTTTTATTATTATTACAGTAAAATTATAAACATTTCCAGAAATATTTATACAGTTGATCCAGATCAAGTTACGGAGCACTAATGTATTTAAACCTATAAAGAAGAACCAAATTTAAAACTTTACTAAACACTGCAGAACTTCATCATTATTACTATAATACAGCAGTAGATGTAGATGGAGTGAGTGACTGTTATCTCTCAGATAACAGACTCAGTCATGTGGTTCGCAGTGTGAACTCACCTCCTTCGATTTAAATCAGACAAAAACCAAAACTTTGGCCAAATGTGACAAGAACAACAAAGCCTGAAGCACGGGGAACGTTACTGCCTTTATTCAACAGCCTGAGCATGAATTCTCATTTTCAGATCATGTAACAGTCTCCCTGAAAGCTGCTGCTCTACTTTTAAACTGCACCTCAGATATTTATAATTACTGCTGCCTGCAGAGTTTTTCTGGGCTCCAGCTTCACCTTTACTCTTTCATTTTGCTTTCCCAAAGTGATGCATGAATCTGCTGTGACCTCAGGTGAAAATCAAAGGTGGGACCCGGGGGTCCTGATCCCCTATTTCTAGGAAGACAGTGTTGTCCTCCCCAGTGCATCACTCTAAATATGACTGTATAAGGTTAAATAATATTATATGAGGCACCGAAAGCCCTCGTGTTAATTACACATGCAAAACAATAGATCTACATAAGTTCAGTCCAGTGCCTACTAGTGGTGCAACGGATCCAAAAATCTCACGGTTCGGATCGGATCATGGTTTTAAGCTACGGATCGGCTCAATTTTAGGATCAGCAAAACAAAACAAAACAAAAAAAACAACCCAAAAAGACAAATTTAACGCGCCATTTACTTATTTAAGTATTTTTTGCCTATTAAAAAACATTCAACTCAAGACTCATTCCACGCAATTATATAAAAACTAATTAAGCTCACGAAGCTTGCCGTTGCCATGGAGATCCACCCATTTGTAGTTAGGGCAACAGAAGACACCTGGGACAGTTCAGCCATAACTTTAGACTTTTCCTGTTCATACATGCTTGGAACGATCTTGTCACTGAAGTGGATGTGCAACAGGATATCATGCAAGCACGTTCATCACAGTTTAAACCCCTTGTTTTGCACAACGGAATACGGCCTCACGTCTGCAGCTAAACACCCCAGTAGCTTTTGTAATAGCTTTATCCTGGACGGACTGGGCAGCAAAGGGCTGCTTAAACGCCGCAAACTCCTCTGCTTCTCCACCTGGACCGCTAGCGCTGGCCATAACTATGGCTTGACAGACTGACCACCATACACATACTTTTTTTCTTCTTTTTCGAATCACGTGCGCGCCGAACCGTGGAGTGGGATCGGTTCGGATTACGGATCAACAGTGATCCGTTGCACCACTAGTGCCTACCAATCCCTAACTCTCTGACATCGTGAACAAATGATTGCTTCTGTAAATAAACAAGTGATAAAAAGAAATAAATAAATCCAGTTAGGCACTCTGGAGATGGCTGCGAAAACATAACTCACTCTGGAGTTATATTGTCCTTGTTGCTCATGACAAATCATCACTCTAGGGCTGCTCGATTATGGCAAAAATGATAATCACGATTATTTTCACTGAAATTGAGATCACGATTATTTGACGATATTTATTTAACCCTTTAAGACCTACTATAGAACCAAGTCCACCAGAGCTTATATTATTTTTTTACATGCTGTAGTGCCATTTGTGGGAGCATTTCAAGTTGCTATACATCAATACAACTGTTATAGCCCATATTTTAATAATATGTATGCATTAAGTCCATAGTAACTACATAAATTGCAAAAAAGTGCAATAAACTACAAAAAAAAATTGAAATCGCTTTTGTTTTCTTTACATATATTTCTACTTGGAGAAATTTAAGAGGTTTATCCCTCAAAACTTTAAATACAATAAAGTTGCAAAAAATAGTTTCCCACCACAGGAAATTTATTTTGAGTGTCTTCATAGTTTTATTTTGGAGATACAGCAATTTTTATATACTGCAGGAAAAACAAAAAACAATCCTATGATGCAAATTTGCAAAGAAAACAGCATGTGCATCATTTCACTTTGGGAAGTGTTACGAACAGCTGATAGGAACGGCAAAGCGTGTTTCTGGAATATTATGTTTTTGTTCCTGCAAGCGCTTTTTATGCAATTTTTGCAACGAAACCGTGACCGAGGACAAGCTGATGGCATCAGATGTAAGTACAACTCCTCCGGTTTCATATGCAAAACAAATTATTGCGCTAGCTTACACGGTTCAGGTTCTACAGGGATTTAAAAATAGTTACGCAAAACGGAGCGTGCCGCTCTGACCGGCTTTAAAGGGTTAACAATGACTTTAAAAAAATAATATAAAATAGTGTGCAACACCACTGAAGTTTTTTTTTTTTTTAAACTCTCTTTTCAACCAACGGCAGTCACTCTCCAAATAACTTCTGCTTAGCTTTCCGAGCTTCCCTCGGGTCCTCTTAATCAGCGGTCTCCAACCTTTTTTGCGCCACGGACCGGTTTATGCCCGACAATATTTTCACGGACCGGCCTTTAAGGTGTCGCGGATAAATGAGGGAGGGGCTAATAATCGGCTCAGTCATTTTTAATGATCGTTGAAAGCCCAGATCGTAATCGTGATTAAAATTCGATTAATTGAGCAGCCCTACATCACTCTCAGAGAATTAAAACGGTGACTCTTCCTGCTTTTCTCTAACATATGATGGAGCTCTTAATCTGCCGCCAGAAAAGTTTCTCAAACTGACGGACCACACTTTTGAATAAAGACAGCAAAACATCCCCATGAATTTACGAGCATCGCCACTAACACGACTTATTCTTTCATACCGATTACTAAAGACAAACAAATTGCTTGAAAAGAAACATATGCACAAAAAAAGAGCTCCCTCTCCAGAGAAGAATGGAGTATGATATAAAACCAGTGTTTGTGCCAGAGCTGCACTGTTTATAATCCAGGTGTATAAACAGTTTGGTTTTTTTGAGGGGGGAGGGGAAATGCAGGCGGAAAAGTATAAAAAGCAACATTAAAACATTCATAGACAGCCATGTGGAGGCTAAAGCTTCTCACAAATCCAGATCAAATAAGGGAAAAAATAATTAAAAAGGAAAAATTACCAACGTCATTGACCTGAGGCTGTGTGGTCATAATTTCCCAAAGATCCTAATGCTGTAAAATATGCAACAACACATAAAACCACACAACGGGCCTTGAAAAGGTACATCACAAAGGAGAGCGTTTAAAGTGATTTAAACAGTGATTGGCTGGGACTCAAGAAAGCTGATTTTACATCTTGTGGGAATGATTATCAGAAGTGGAAAAGTTCACCTTTTTCCTCTGCTGACGACATACATTATGTCCACTCAGCTGGATATTCATTTGCAACAATCATCTTCATACAATGTTTCTACCAAAAGAGATACACGAGATGATTCATCATAACATTACCAACATAAAATGTTTATTTTTAAGGATGGAAAGCTGGGCTGTTTATCCGGTTGTTCAGTCTGACGTCACTAGCCGTGTCTGGGTCTAAACTCCGCTGCAGGTCCATATATCACTGTGGCATTACTGAGAGTTGAAAAACTGTCTAAAGTCTTTCATCTTTAATAAAATGATCAGCGTTCTGCTCTACCAGGTGTAACAATTGAGTTTAACATCCAGGCATCCATGAAAACGGAATTTATGACATTTAACGGAGTTAGAAGTTACCAGGGAGTTAGCTCGCTAGCTTCTATCTAAATACAATATAGCATGTCCTGACTGCGGGGTTTTGGAAACAAATTAAAACGTACAGCTCTGTTATCACTTCCAACATAAATGAAGACAGAAAACTAAACAGCAGTGACGTTTGTAGGGTTACTGAAGTTTGGCTAGCTGGTATATAATGATGTGCTACGTGACCGCTAGCGACACAGCTATGTTAGCATAATATAAACAAGCTAACTTTTTTTCCACTCGATAAAAGTTACCGTGAGTGTTCTCGGTGGTCAGGAACAAATGTAATCGCATGGCAGGATGCTGTAAAAGGACCAAACTTCAGCCAGGAGAACAACTGAGATAATCCATCCACAATAGGTCAAGGGTCAACAGTGATCACTGACTGTTTTAGGAGCTTTTTGAGATCAAATAGAAGAAAATACATAACATTAAACATGTTAACAACACAAAAGCCATATTAAACGCAGACTACTTTAGACCCGGAAGTAGGATTCGTCGCGTCATCACTGAACAACCGGATAGTGTTGGAGGGAGGAGATTTGGATAAGGAAATCAGGAATAGAATAGCTGACCTCTCTCACACTTAAAACTATTAAATAACTGGGTCATAACGAAATGACAAACTTAAAGAACTCAGTTTAATTTTTTTATAGATATGATTTTCTTTTTCTGTGGATTCCTGTAGATGAATCCTAAATCCTTCCTCCCTTGAGAGTAAACCGCCTACAGTGTGACTCATAAGGACCTTTTCAATATAAAAGCATAATGATGGAGACAAAGAATTACTAACCCTGATGTAATATAATCCTTTCCCTAAATCTTCTACATTTCACAGTCCAGTAGATGTGTTAACATCATTTTGGAGTTGTGCTGCTGTTTTTAAACAAATGATGAAGCAGTGTTAGTTTATGGAAATCTTTTCAAACAAACCTTTATGAAAAGAGACGGTACGATAGTGGAAAGCACAGCGGCTTTATTTTCCTTTTGTTGAGTTAATTGTGCAATTTTTTTGCTCTTCTCTAACATCAAGTCTGAGGCTGAAAACTGCTGTGATTTTGCTCTTTTAGGATAAGGAGGAGTTCTGGGCGGGTTCTTGCTGTCAGGGTAAAATAGATTAGAGATTTTTGTATTGGGTGTTATGGGCAGCAAATTTTCTTCTTACAGCTAGTTGAGGAGTTTGCCATGGTTTGAGTTTGTAAGTCATATCTCTACATCTCCAAGATAAAAACTGCAGAGAACACAAGAGTATCCGCGTTTCTTCTCAGCAGTCGGCACGTAGAGCTCTGCAACATCACAAACTCACTTTCATGTAGTTTTCTTTTTACTTCCCTCTAGTATCAGATCTGGGACATAACATACTGAAATGTTAAAAATACAACCATCAGTGGAAACACTTTTCTGCCTACAAGTGGCTGAATCAGTTCTTCCCTTTACTTTAATATTGTATCTGGGGCCTCGCAGAGCTGGCAGAAATAGGAGCTTTGCCACATTTAGAGTTGTTGCTCAGCACCAGGTTTAGAGGGCAATCACTTTTTCCCCTTAATAACAAACACCTTCATTTAAAAACTGCATTTTGTGTTTAATTGTGTCATCTGTGGTTAACATTTAAATTTGTTTGATGATCTAAAACATTTACGTGTGACAAACATACAAAACAATAGATAATCAGGAACAGGACAAACACTTTTTCACAGTGTTGGGTCAAAATCTGATGGTAACAAAGGCTGCTGTGTTATCCTGCAAGTCAGCTATTACAGTTTGAGGAGTTTGACCTCAGATGTGTTCTCACTCAGCTGCCTGTCCTTGATCTGAATAGCTGTACTGTTTCTGGAGATAAACATGCATAAAACTTGCCCTTACCCTGTATCTCCCTCATTACATTTGCTCAGTTTTGACCTGCTAATTTATAAACCACTGCACTGTTAGCAGCCTCACTCTGTCTATTTCTATTTTCTGTGTAATGGAAATGCTTCTTCACCTTTTCAGCCATTTTGTTGCAATACTGTATTTGTTTTAGTAAGCCAGACATTTTTGGCTGCTTTAACCATTTTCCAGCTTTTGGGAAAAATAAAGTATGCAATGCTGTTTCCTACAAGCACTCCAACATGTTCACTTCCAGGATTTGCCTGAAGATTTTCCAACTTGTTTGATTTTGCGTTCCATCTCTCTCTTATTGAATGTAATTAAACTCCTCTCTAAAAAGCCCTCCTGGACTCATCCTCACCGGCCAAATGAGGAAGGAGTTTTTAATTTTGATTCAATCAGCAGGTGGTGCTCTTGTATTCACCGCAGCTCCCTGTGCGTCTGTACGCAGGTCAGAGGAGGATATTTAATGAAACTCTCGGGTAATAGAAGAGTTCTCTGATTAAATGTGGTGGAGCTGACCTGCTCTCCAGCTCCACCCACTCTGTGGAGTGTGTGTGCGCAGGATCTCCGAGCGATGCCGCTTTCAACCAAATCCCCTTTCAGCATGATTATCTATAACCTTAATCTCCCTGTATACACTAATCTGGCGGAAACACGTTCTGCACACGATTATAATTTTATTCCATTCAATTTCTCTCCAACTATTTTACTCCCTGCTCCAGTCAGACATCCAGAAAAATCATCTTTAGGGGAGTAAAACGTAAATCTACATATGTGGATTTATAAAACGAAAACGAAGCAAAAATCACAGGGGCCTCAAATCAAATTTACGGGGTTGTGATTGAACATTTGCTTCCACAGTGAATATATGTAGAATAAAAGCTTACCTTAATGAGGGAGGTGCAGACAATAGCACCAGCATTAACCATGGGGTTGTGTGGTTTATCTGCAGGACAGGAAATAGAAGTTAATAAGAGCAGGTTTTAGCAAGCTAATGCTACAGGAACACCTTCACTGAGCACATCACAGCCACATACTACTCTGTTGTATATAAGCTGATAGAGTCCACAGTTTATTATTCCGTATTATATTGTTTGATGTTCTTTTTAAAAATTGGCCACTCTGCTGATGGAAGTCCTGCTCATGTTTCTGATTAGCCAGATACTGCAAGCTCCGCCTCTTTGTTCTACAAGCCCTTGGAAAAGCAACTTGGGAACACAGTAATTTGTGACTTACTGTTTACTTTCTCAAAAAGTATACAGTAAAAGAAAAAGAAGGGAAGCCTTTTTGTGCCAGAGATCAAAACACAAGTGAATAATCTACTGAGTGAACTAAAAAAACATATAGGGCACAATTACAACACTTCCCCTCTGAGTTGTAATCGTCGTAAGCAACAGGAAGAGCCATGTTTCCTTCTTTTCACTTTTTTTAAAGGGAAAATAAACAGCTGGAATATCTGTGCCACCACCGACTTCTCTGCTCGGTTTGATAACAACAAAGAGGAAACCTGGAAACGTTCTCACACCAGTTTCCGCTCAGAGAAGCTACAGACACAATAAAACCCAACTCTATTCAGGTTGAACAAAAACTGCTAACCGTATTTGTATTCAACATATGACATTACTTCACTTCACCAAGTTACTGCTCTTTAACATTTCGACATGGTGAGTATTGCAGCAACATGTGTTCCAATGTATAAGCTTTGTTCAACTGCAAATAAAATCCTCAAAGTTAAACTTTGTCAACATCTCTTATCCAAGCAAACAAAACCAGAATAATCTCACAGATATAAAACCAGAGACAGACATAAAAAAACAAAAAAACAAACATATGAACAAGGAATGGAAGGAGTGTTTTAAACATGTGATATGTGCAAAGTACAAACACACAACAACAGTCAACATATGGCTTCCCTAAACACTCCCGGTTGAGCACCTAAACACGCCATTAAATCTAAAATAAATTCAAACTTATTCACTCATTTCTTGGTTTTTTTAAATTGATTAAAAGCATATGCTTCACAATGATTCAACCAAAACCCCAAATCTCCATGACATTAATGCCCACGATAGGTGAACGTAACCTTCTGACCACAGCTGTATGAGGATTACTCTGAACTGTGCAAGATGCAAAGTTACTCAAGTAGAGTCCAGAAATAAAGTGTTTTTTTGAGCTCATAAGGCCCACTGTGCTCGAAGAACAAATGACCTGCTCTATATTGAGATAACTGATATCGCCTGACATCCTCGGTGTATTTCAGACCTGTGGGAAACCACGCTCTGATTCCCCTGCACTGCAGGACTGATACTAAAAGAGCGCCTCTGTGTCTCGGCTGCTCCGTTCTGCCTGCTTTTTAAGGAACCACATGCCAACAGCTTGTTGTTTTTCAAGTTTTTTCTGTCTCCGTTACACACTGCCCACTTTGTTTTATCCAGCTACGCTCCTTAACAATTTATCATGGCGCCATGGAAACCAGGCCACGTGAATGGCTCCTCTTACAGAGACTGCATGCACCTGTGCGCCATGTGAAGGTGTGAAGTGACCGATTCCTCACCGTCCTCGTTCAGGAAGAGCTTGTTGAAGCGCAGGCCGCTGGGCTCTTTGCCGATGAAGCGATGTACGTACTCGGTGCCGTGGTCGTGAACGGCGATGGCGTATTTCAGCGGCTTCACGCAGGACTGCAGACAGAAGGGAACTTTGGTGTCGCCGACAGTGTGCCTGTGAAAGACACAAGTGTATCACTTATACACTTATACCTTCAAACTCTTAAGGTGTATGTTAGTAGTTTTTCAGAGTCAGAGGAAATAGAAAATCTCTCTAAATCTACGTAATGATAAGTCTGGCTTTTACCACATCCCCATTTTCTCATATCTGACAGCCACTTGTGAAAAATAAATTTACTACAAAGCTTCTGGTGAAGAAACCATCCTCTGTAGGTTCTTCTACACGTAGTCAGAATACCTCTGTCCGTCGACTGTGCACAGGGCGACGGCCCACAGGTCTGGGCTGAAGCGTGCCAGCTGGGGAATATAGTCTGCCACCTACAGGGTGAAGAAACAATGAGGTTTAATCTGACCTATTCCTCACTCCCAACCATCTTGTCCTGGCTGTTATTTAATGTCACAAAGTATTCGACAAACAGACAAATGACTCACAATGTTAAAACTGGTCTATAAGGAACGGTTAGATACAGTTCTACTCAGCTCTGCTCTCACTGACCTGCCCTCCAGACATTTTTTTGGCGTTTTCGTACAGCTCGTCGATGTGAGCAGAGAAGGACTGGAAGTCTGGAATAACAAACTTCTTCCTGAAGGCCTGGGTGAGCAAAACGATGTTGCTCTGGACACATCTGAGGCAGGAAAGAGAAATATTTAGGCTGAGGAGTACAGAATGTCCTTATTGACCTTTATGACTGCTTCAAATCCTCTGAGACTTTAATGACAAGTATGGAGCTAGTTAATGGACACAAAGCGACCGTGGCTCAGGGGGCTGGGAATTGCATCTGTAACCGGAAGGTTGCCGGTTCGATCCCCGGGCTCTCTGTCCTGGTCGTTGTGTCTTTGGGCAAGACACTTTACCCTACCGCCTACTGGTGTTGGCCAGAGGGGCCGATGGCGCGATATGGCAGCCTGGCTTCTGTCAGTCTGCCCCAGGGCAGCTGTGGCTACAACTGTAGCTGCCTCCACCAGTGTGTGAATGTGAGAGTGAATGAATAGTGGTATTGTAAAGCGCTTTGGGTGCCTTGAAAAGCGCTATATAAATCCAATCCATTATTATTATTATAAAGCTTTTAACCCTAGAACACTATCGCTATAAATAGTAACACGATCACTAATGCCGGGTGATTTTTACCCGATATAATATAACCAATGAAAGGTAATCAAATATATCAAAATATGACAACACATGACAAATTAGAGTGGTCTTCTTTTACTTTAAACTGTGCCATGTCTAACAAAATGAAAAATAAGACTCCTAAAACAAAATAATGACTCTGGAAAGCTGGTCTTTGGTCCACCCATTCCTGGGACATTTGAGACTTCCCTGGTGATGGCACAGGCTCCTCGACACGCAAACAGCTGCAGGAGAGTGAAATCATATAAATGTATTTTCTCGGGTGTAAATCACCCAGCGATAGTGTTCTAGGGTTAAGGTCACGCATTACTAAATATAACATTAGATATAATTAGGGAATGTTCTGATTTTTGAACACTAGATAAGACTAAATACAGTGAGTCTGCGCTCCCTCGCTCAGCTCGTTTCCTCTTAATAACACCTAAACTTGAGGAGTCTGAGTAGAGAGTATAGCCGTGTATGCGTCACAATTCATCCTGCTGCTTCTGTCAGCAGGCATATCATCAATAAACACCAGTGGTCTGGTTCTACTGGGAGCCATACATGCCCATAACCATAACACTACCTCCACCATGTTTGACAGATATGCTTCAGACCAGGAGCAGTTTCTTTGGTTCAAGCTCATTTTGGTTTCATCTCTCTAAAACATTTGTTTCCAGATCTGTGGAGTCTCTTTCAGATATTCTCTGGTAAAGTCTAATCTGGCCTTGCTTTTTTTGAGTGTAACCAGTGGTTTGCATCTTTTTATAAACCTTATAAAAGGCTGACGGGCTTGTCAGTCAATTGTCCAAGTACTTTTGAGGATCTAAAAATTGTAAAAAAAAAAAAGAATTGTGTAAAAAAAGAAAAAGTCTAATTTATAAAAAAAGAGTTAATAAAATACTTTTATTAAATCCCTTGAGTTAAAGCTGAAAGTGTGCATTTCAAAGACCGACTGTGGTGCTGGTGTACAGACGGGCCTGACTATATTTGCTTTTCTGGTTCAAAGCTTCTATTTCCAGGCTAAAATTTTCCAGTAAGCGTTCTGGGAGAGCTGTATCCTCAGCTCGACTCGGCCGACTCTGTTGACCTTTCGCTGTGGCTGCTGTAGTTTTAGGAAAAGATCCCCACTTGTTCCCTCGCAGCATGGAATTAAAATTACACAATAAAAGAAAATAGGTACTCCTTTTCCCAACATGTTCTGTACTCTAGATCACCCCTAAAGCAGCATGGTCTGGCTTTTTTTTACCACTTATAGATTTTGTCCTGGGCCTTTTTATCCGAGCAATTATGGATGCAGACCTCGTAGTAAACACAGCTCCACGTAACAAGGCGGTGAGATAGAAGCTCTCCGTTAGCAGAGAGATTTACAGCTTGGCTATCTTACTGCATCCGAGCGGTCTAATCCCTGCAGAGAAAACACACGCTACACTCCACCGCCCGCTCACGTGCTTCCCTCTGAGAGGTTCTATAAATAAGCCCAGGGCGCGGAAGTGATGGACGCCAGCCAGGAGCGCCGGCTCGGGGTCTGTTCAGTGAGGATTTTTTGCTCCCCGGTGAGCCATCATATGCCTGATCTCACCAAGCTGCCACCCAGTTCTGTCTCACTGTCGTTTCCTCCGGGAGGGTGGTGGGGGTCACACAGCAGTGATCCAATGACACAAGGGGGTGGGTGGAGGTGGGGATGTCATTTTACTCCACATATCTTTCTTTCCTCTCCAGCTGTGTTTCAACAACCGGTTTGGGTGGCTAAAAATGTTCTGATTACCAAATAAACATGAATTTGAAGGTCGTGTGATGGCCCCCTGCAGACCCAAGTCAGCAACATCCACCATCACAGAACATATCGGCCGTGATCGAGTGCAGTTGTATTCTCTGAGCACTGCCGTTTTTCCTGTTCCTCAGTCCTCGGGTCAAAGTAAAGTCATGTGGAAAAGGAGGCAGGAGGTAAACTTGTGGACTTTTCAAGTGCACCATCATTCTGAGTTAGATTACAAGGAACATTGTTAAGTTTTTTATGCAAAGTGGAAACTAAAAACACCTTGTTTTTCTTCCCCCTTTCAGAATAAGCAGCCAGTGTCAAAATTAAACCTCCAAACACTGAAACACAATCAGATTGCGCCAAATCTACTCCAAATCTTCACCTATGAATCTCCTAATTATCAATTTGATTTCCAGTTATTGAAGTCTACCAGTTTCCCTGAGCAGATTTTTCTGGGTGATGAAAACCTGAAGATGAGGTTGCTGACGTGCAAAGCGAGGGATGATGAATGATTAACGGCAAGCGGTGACCCTGTTCTGCTGCAGGGACAAGCAGAGGACTCTAACCAGCTTTAATAATTCTTGTGATGAAACATTGATGCTGGTCATAAAGGTGGGACAGCAGGCAGGGTATTAAACACGGGATACACAAAATCTATAAATATATATAAAGAATATCCATATAGTCTCAATAATGCAAGGTTCTGTCTTCTTATACATAACATTAAAATCCAACATCTGGCTTTTGACTCAAACTGCACATCTGGATCTTTTATTAAATTTTACGGAGCCAATTAGGCTGCAGTTTGTTAAATGAGAGTGCAGAAAACTCCTGCTCGAGCATATCAATCCATCGTTGCTCAGTAAATTAAAGACAGGCATACTTTTTGAAGAGGTGTCGGTCCAGCGCTCCATCTGAGGTTGTCTTCAAGGTCACCTTCAGCATCTCCATACATTCTTTCAGCCGGGGGTCTCCCGTGCGAAGACCTGTGGCCTTAAGAGCCTGTGCGAGGAGAGGAGAGAGACACCAGGATTAAGACAGCCTGACAACAAAATCAATAAAGCTGCGAGCTGTGATTCCTCCAGAGCCTGGCAGGAGGAGCTCATAATTCAGAAAGCTACAGGGCTGAATCACTGCCAACAAGTCAGTAATTTATGTGTGACATGCATTTATTTAGCTGCTATGCTGTAAATGCTTTTTGTCGTACATTTTATGAAAGTCTTTTTTCAGTTAAGTCACCACAGCATTATTTATCCATTTGTAAACATTGTGTGGATTTCCCATCTTCTTTTCACCTTCATAACTGATTCAATTCAGTTGTATTTATATAGCACCAAATCACAACAACAGCTGCCTCAGGGCGCTTCATATTGTAAAGGCCTTACAATAATACAGAGAAAACCCTAACAATCATGACTCCCTACGAACAATGAGTGGGAAAGAAAAACTGAATTTTAAACGGAAGAAACCTCCAGCAGAACCGGGCTAAGCGAGGAGTGGCCATCTGCCGCAGCTGGATGGGCTGCAGCGAAGACGATAACCACAACATCTAGTTAGTAGTTTTTATAGGTCATTTATCCAGGGGAGGAACTGTTGTATAAAACCACCCCGAAGTTCCTGTTTCAAGCTGGTTTTAAACTGGTTTCCAACACTGCAGAATGGTATTACACCACTGTACTTTCACTCCAAGAGAAATTTAGACTACATTGATATCTTCAAAGAGTTTGTGTGATTCTAAGCCAACACCTGATTTCACTTCTAAGATCTATCCAAATCTGCACAATGTTTAATGACTTAATCTTCTCCATTATTCCCCTAATGAAGTTTAATAATAAGTGAGATCTGCTCTGTTACTCTGTCTCCATTCCTGTGGGCGATTTGGGGCCATTTTCTCTTGTGTAATTTATTTCTAGTAATATTTCTAATTAACAAAAGGTTCCGACACCATAAATATCCAACTCTCAGACATATCACTGCTGTGATAACTCACTGTGGTAAATTTGTGTGCAGGGATTTTTTCTTGGCCCTCTGCGATGGTGTAGAACAGCAGATCCTCCAGGCTGGGCAGGATGCCCGCCTTTCTTCTCCTGCAGGAAGCAAAAATAAACAGGCAGAGACAGAAAGGTGAGAAAAATAACTCCACAGTGAGGAGCTGTGGTGGAAATGTGGACATACAGGAGGAGGGGGGGAGGGGGGGGGCTGCAGCAGAGGGAGAAGAAAACGCTTTTTCACTGCAGGGAGAAGCAGTGAGTAATAACAGTAAGGAAAACACAGCCTCAGCTTGCCTTACCTCAGCATTAAAACCTGTGGAAAAGTATACCTCCATACTTTTAGTAACATACTTTTCCAGGAGGTTAATATGCTACTTTGAGGCCACAGGAATTGTTAATTGTACCTTGCTTGAATACCAGCCAGGAATGTGTTTGAAAAGCTCCCAGCATGCAAGCTAACGAAACCCAAGATTTAACGATTTAACCAAGTTTACACAGAATTTAACCAAAAACGCTTCAAACCAAGAAGAGAATTTAGTGCTAAATTTCTGTCCTAGTTTTAAGTTTGGAGACTGCAGCACAACAAAAACTACCAACACTTCATGACAGACAACCCTTACAGGCCTCGTCATTCACACTGTGTGAGGTGGCAGTGTCGGTGCAATCAGCTGGATAAAAGCACAGTCTGGGATGTGATGACTGGGCCTTAACTGTTGCAGCTGGGACAGGGAGACTAGCCAAGGCCTCCGGCATGCTGACGGTGTTCAGTGGCTGGAAGAAAACCCCAAAAAACCCCCCAAAAAAAACAACCCCACACACGCAACCAGAGTGATGGGTTAGCACTCGACGTGGCAGCTAAAACCCTACGTCAGACCGGCAGCGTCACCAGAGCTCCATTTTTATCCTTCAGAGCTGAGTAAGCAGCAAATAAAGAAATAAATGACAAATAGACAGTGATGGGGTCCAATACTAGTCCCACACCAGAGGAACTACAGTTATTGTAAATACTTAAATATTAACAACAACATTTGGTTAGTCGTCCTTTACAGTTAATTGGCTCAGATTTGAAACATTATCTTACTAAATTTTTAATGTAAATGGAAGATTATAGTTTAAACAAAAGCAAATCTATGATCATTAAAGATTTTTTTAATGTTTCTATTTGTATTAGTTTGTGTATTATAACTGTCTGATTTTATATTTGATATGGTGCGTCTTAAAAGCCTAACCAGGGACAAGGTCTTAGCTGTGGCTACGAGTCAGTTTTTTGGCACTTTGGTCACAGAGCTTTTAGTAAAAGGTAAAAATCATCACAGTTAACCGATTCTGCTCATGTCCATCTCCATGTTTTTTAATTCTTGGTCTTTACCAGAGCAGCTCTGGATGATTCATAGTTCAAAATAATCCTTCTTTAAATTATACTGCAGCCCCTCAGTTCCCCCTCCGTCTAAAACAAGCTTTTTTAGCTCCTCCCCTTTTTAGACAACTTTCTTCTGACTTCCTGTCCCTCTCAAATATAAGGTTCTGGACAGGAGGTGGGTGGGATTCTGTGCTCAGATGGCCTTATTAAGGGTTATCCTCTCTGAGAGAGCCACGAGTAGAAAAAACTACCTGAGTGTGAAACATCGCACACGTGACCGAAATCAGAGCAGAAAATGTCCACTTCAAGGAAACCTGAGCATCTAGCACCGTTTCCTGGCTGGTATTCGGAGCAGAGTGTCCACAGGAAGTCGTCTCTGGGAGGAAGGTTAGTAGCGTGTCAGGAGGCAGACGGGACGAACGGTTCACAGCAGGCTCTCTGCTATGATTCATACCAACACCAAATTGGATTTGTACAAAGCTCTGGGTGCTCACGATGACCTGCAATGCATCATGGGGGTGGCTTGGTGCTAGGAGAGGATGTCTGAAGGTCAAACTTGAGTTGGCAGGCGGCTCCTCTCAGCAGCCAACCAGAAATAAAGAAAAGGAGCCAAGTTTGGATACATGAGAGCAGAAATGTACCAGATTATAATTTCAGCATCAGCAGTTTCCTCTGGAATCATGCAGCAGCAGCAACCATCAGAACATTACAACCTCTAATAGAGGAAATGGACAATTAACAGAAGCTTTCACTCTCAGCTTCTTGCGCTCACTCTTTGTCTCCATCGAATGCAACATTTGATGGAGACAACATGTCACATTACCATTAGCATAAAAGCTTCCAATCAGTGTCTACTCCACTCTGTGTGCAAGGAGGGGCACTCACAGTAAAGGAGAAACCAGAGACTTTATTTAAGCAACAGTGCTTTTTACTTCAAGCTGCTTTCGTCCTTGTGATGACTGCACTTATGGAACTGAATTAAACTGAGTCTGAACTGAATTCCTGAAACTAAAGTTTGTCCTTCCAACTAAAATAAAAAGGATTTCCTCCTGATAACTTCTATTTATCGATGTACTATATTCAAAAGGGGAGAAAACCAATGTTTCTTTGTCGAGTCTCGTGTGGTTTTAAATATAAAAGAATGATTCCCAGTCTTTTTCCTCAGGGTAAGAAGTACAGCTTATTATTTACATGGGTGTGGGAAGTAAAAAAGGCTGGATTGGAGCATCTCTGACATACATACATAGCTCCTGAATATGTGAGAAACACAGAGTGACTTAGACTGAAATAACAGACGTGAACGGGGGTTTTCCTGAGCACCACTGCTGCAGAAACCAAGAGAGGAAACACTGGCAGCGAGTTGAAGTCAGATTTATAGCTTTTGTGCCAAGTTCCACTCAGGGTGAAAAGTCAGGGAGTCTCAGCGAGGAGTACATATAGTTTAAAAGTGTGTCTGTTTGAATAGAATACATTAGGTTGCACCTCTCAGAGGAATACCGCCCCATACTTGAAAATCGGACTCCTTAACAGTTCCTTAGGAAGAAGCTCTGACTTTCCAGCATCAGTGGAACGCAGCAGTAACACTACAAACAGTTCATACGCTGTCTGGGTTAGCATGTCGGGGTCGCTGCATCGTGCTCCACCTCTCACTGCATTAATGCAGGCTGCTGGTGAGGAAGGAATACACATCAGAGAGTGTGTGATTGAGGAAGAGGAGGAAGACAGGATGGAAGGATGGAGGGTGAGGTAGAATAGAGAGGGACTGAAGCGCACCCACTGGGAGGAAGTGAGGTCATGTCTAAGTAAAAGCAGTTGTTGGCTTTCCGTAGAAAACCTCTACTTCTACTGGATTTTATTTTGAAAAACTTTTGAAAAAGAGACTAAAACGACAAAATAGAAAGATACTTACAAATGCAAAACAAGAAGATCAACAACAGGGAGACAGAGAGAGTGAAGAGGGATAACACTGAATTAGTAACAGTGGCATTAAACTGAAACAGTAACAGCGAGCACACATATGATCAGCACAGAGCACGTCTTCAGATCATGCTGCTGTCAGGACAAGAAATAAAACAGAAGCTGTGACATTAAATGTAGCGTTTCACAGTGAATCACATTAAAAACATGCAGCATTGAAATGCACTATGAGACATACAAACCAATAGTATAATCTGAAATGACTACTATGACTGAGTACTACTACTACCACTATACTTTTTTCCCACCACTGAAACAGATGAGGCCCAGCCGGCTTGGGAGCCAGAGGTCTCAGCTCTAATCGAAAGCAAACAGCCATTTCCACATAAATAAACATTTGGCCTAAAACTGAAACAGAAATGGCTGCTGGTGGATTTTAACCGTGTAACACTTGAAATGAACATGACACTGTAACCAAATAATAGTGAAGTAAGAGGGCCCTTCTTGAGTGAGAGACTTCCCCTGTGGGAGCATCATTAACACAGGCAGGTTAGAGGTGGACACTGGAACATCTGGATGGTCTCATTAATCTACCTCTGCTGGTCTCATTAGTACTCTCGCTCACGCTCTCCCTCCCCCTCCTCTCGCTCTGTTTGCTTTTAAAGGTCAACGCGAACAGAAGCTGAAACAGCAGCAGCCACTCCACAAAACTCTCTCCTGCACTGCAGATGAGTGAGCCTCTTCCAGAAGAGTCATCGAAACGGCATCCAACTGAACTGAGGCAGGAATCTGGAGACGTTTCCTTCACACGTGACCTTTCTGTGCCTAGACCCCCACAGGATCAGTATTTTACCTGGCACTACTAACACAAATGCTTCAAACCTTTTTCATCAATGCTAAGGCAGCTGTTTAAACATATGCAACTCACCCACATTATGTTTTAAAATGTTTTAAAAACCCTGCAAATTAACAAGAATTTACTGGCAAATTTGTGAGAAAAAATCTAATTAAAATTTATGACAAAGAAACTGCCAGATATGCGGGGAAAAGGCAGAAAAATTATTCACCACCATGGCTCACCTGAATAAGCAGGTGAGCTCTCTGCCTGCTCTCCTGTCACCTCGCTGAACTATCCTGCCTAAAAAAGGCTAAAAATTCAAAGACATGTCTATATCTAAGTTTTACAAGAAAAATTAGGAGCATTTATCAAACCAAAATTTGCAAGAAACTCACAAAATTATGAGGAAAAAAATATATTTATATTTTATATATAAATATTTCCTCTGAATTTCACCCTCACATTACATTGTTTTCTTCAACCAGGCCCTAACACTAATACACCACCATCGTAGTCTCCCTCTGAGCCCACCATCAGATGGTGCGACTCCCTTGAAGTCGGGGCCTGAGGTGTTCGCACTGACAGGCGGAGGTCTCTGTGTGAATTGAGCCGTCAGTATCTGCTGCATTTATTTAATCTGATCGATGGCGCTGGTTTCACCGCCTCACAGGCATCATGACAAATTGTTGCTGGTGGGTTGGAGAGGGCGGAGGCAGACATTAGACTGGAAGCGCTGAGAGAGAGGTGGCGCTGCACGAATCGATCTATGCGACTGACTCATCTGCTCGAGGCCCTGACATCTGCTGGGCGGCACGCCAGCTCACGGTACTTAAAATAAATAAATAATTAAAAAGCGAAGACATGATTTAGGCAGGATGAGCTCCTCTGCATCGCATACTGCTCTGAGCCCTTACTAGCTGAAGCACAGCCTCAGAGCCCTCAGAGTCAGCGTGTAGCTCAGGCTGAGCCTGTCTGTCTTTT